TTCAGTATAAATATACAAATTAAATGTTTTATTCCATTATTGTGAGCTAAAAATAAAAATAAATGTTAAGTTGATAAGCTATAGCCTATACAGTATACAATATGTAGAATAAGTTTCGGCATTAAGGTTACATCTTAAAGCGAACAAATCCAAATTTCTGTAATCAAACATTTCCTGGTTAACGTGCATTTTTCGGAAAAGCACAATTTGTTTTGTTGAGAGGCTATAAGTCAATCATTTCTTGTGATATCGAGCTGAAATGTTGCACGAAGTTTATTCATATCTTGTTCAAGATGTGTGTAAAATCTTGATATCGTATCTTTAAAAGCTGCGTTTTTATAAATTTTGAAAGTCAAAAAGTGGTAATTTTTGTTTTCAGGCTTTCTGTACCAAAATATCCGTCAAGCCCATATCCAAAAAAATTTAAATTTCCTACATTCTCAATTTTTTCGTTTTCTGTGGCCCGCTCGCTTCGCTCGCATAAAAAGTCTTTGTATTCGCGCGGTTCAAAGATTTTTCATGGCAGATTCCAGATTCTCAATTTTACTTTTTTAGGGCCCGGAACAGGGACGTAGCCAGGATTTTTCTTTGAGGGGGGCTGTTGGCGAGCGAAGCGAGCCGACGCGTCCAATCCAGCTGCGCAGCGAGCGAAGCGAGCAAGCTGTGGCAGGGGTCTGGGGGCGCAGCCCCCAGCGGTGTCCAGGGGCGGAGCCCCTTGGCGGAGCCCCTTGGCGGAGCCCCTTGGCGGGGGCTAGGGGGGCGCAGCCCCCCGGAAAATTTTTTCGAAACAGGGTGTTTTAGACGACATTTGGCATTAAAGAAATTTGTAGGACAGCAATAAACTGGGATTGAAAAGAATCAAGTACTCACGTAAATTTGGTAACTTCACAACAGCAATCTGCATTCTCCAATCAGAATTTACGACTTACTCAGGCCTCATCGTCTTAAGATTTTTACATTTCCTACGGTCTAGGGGACACTATTGACTATTTATAGAAGTCTTCTAGAATGTTTGCTTGGATTTAATGACAGATATTTACTAATCCACAGTTCAAATCTTTGACTGACTGCAGTCATAAACACAGCCCAGTTACCAGGCGACCATGGGGACTAGGGGGCTTATCTTTTTTCTGGGGTTCGATTTTTTCCGGGGGGGCTGCCCCCCCCCCCCCCCCCCCCCCCCCCCCCCGGCCCCCCCCCCCCCCCCCCCCCCTGAAGCCCCCGAAAATTTTGGAAATTTAAACTAGATTTGGCCTCCTGGAACGAATCTGACAATGGAGAACGATTTTAGCATACTATTTTCTGATTTCAATTTTTATTGGGATAAATTGTCTGGATTCTATAATCCCTTAACACTTGGCTTAACTAAAGCACGAAATAGGAGACAGCATGAAGTATCAAGAGTTTATAATTTTGGCAAAAATGTTTTCTCATCTACTACCATCACTTTCTGCTTTCAAGCCCGTTTCATAGACTAGATAAGTAGATAGTAAAATGTTAATAAAGTAATAATGACAACTATTTATGTCGTGTACGCGAAAATGCCCCAATAATTAGCATCTGGTTAGTGGTTACTTGATGCACAGATTTTGTAGCTAATAGCAACAAACTTTGGTCTGTGAAACGAAATTTGATAGACTGGATCAGTGGATCCCTGACTGAGGACATTTAAATAACGGTCAAGCAACTTTTAGTCTGCTCTTTCACTTAAATTCCTACTGAAATATTATCGAAAATTCTCAGAGTTGGCTCTCGAATTTCCTACTTTTTGTCAAAAATTTCCTACTTTTAAAAATTTCCTACATTCTTAGAATGCGAGAATGCGGGTTTTTGGATATGGGCCGTCAAGGAACATCGGATTGTTTTGATGCTTGACATGAAATTGTTCTCTGAAGTCTGGTGCAGTTTTTGATGCCCTCAAAAATGTGTTTATTCAACTGGAAAGTTAATCTTTTGGATCTCAAAGTCAAACAACGAATTTAGGGGCCATCTACTTAGGACGTCCGGCAAATAGGGAGGGGGCAGGGGGGTTTTGGAATTTCGGACAAATCCGGACAGGGGGAGGGGGCCGGGGCTGGGGGGGGGGGGGGTGGTTTCTGAAAATCTGGACGTCCGGAAATTTTGCAGAATTAACGAAATTAAACTGATGGGCACTGGGCCATTATCAATCAAGTTGACAGCTATTAGTATTTACATATTTACATAATAAAAATAAACAACAAGAAATGCGAGTGAATGGCCGTTTGTTTCTGGTGCTTCTCTTAAATGGGCTACAACCCAACCTTGGATAAGCAGATGATCTGGAAAGCGCGCTTATTACAAACAGTATAATTTAATCGAAATGCACAGTGCACACCAAGGGTAAATAATTTGCTGAATAGTTGAGCTAGCAAAAAACAGTTTCTTAGAACAATTCTCAACCGTTTAAAAGCAATTTCGAATTAAGACCACAGCATTAGCCCAATGCTTTGAACAGAAGTTTTTTTGAGGCTGTTATTACACAATATTCTGTATTTTAAACATAGTATAATTTTTATAGTAGTAGTTACCGTGACTTTTACGACTAATGAAATATATAACTTTCCCGCATTTAAGTCGTTATATTTCTGAATTTTCTGCATTATAGAACAATTTGCCGTTTTAACAGAGATTTAGGAGTTCAAGGTCGTTGGTTTTTATCGTTTAAAAAAATGGTTAAACAAGTTTGAAAATATGCAGCCGTAGGTGTTTAATACTTTAATAAATATGGGACGATGCTTCATATTAGGGGCCATCTACTTAGGACGTCCGGCAAATAGGGAGGGGGTGGTTTTGGAATTTCGGACAAATCCGGACAGGGGGAGGGGGGTTGGTTTTGAAAATTCGGACTCACCTGAACAGCGGGAGTAGAGGGGGGTGGTCTGAACATTTGCGATTTTGGCAGACGTCCCCTTAGGCATATTTTTCGTTTTTCATATTTACAGATTTTTCTAAAATTTCGATAGGAATGTGCTAGAGACTTTTAGAATAGTGCAAAATAACTGCAACTAGCACATTTACATATGAGTTATGTATAACAAAACAACCGAAAATGCTTCCTTTTAAAGTTATGGTAGAAATAGTGATTTTTTAGCTTCACAGATACAAAAATCACATTTTCTACCATTACTTTAAAAGGAAGCATTTTTACACACATTTTGAACTAGATATGAATAAACTTCGTGCAACATTTCAGCTCGATATTACAAGAAATGATTGACTTATAGCTGGAAAAATCGTCAAAAAAAGAGGTCCAAGATTTTCAAAATCGAATGAAACATTCTCTTAGGCCTATCTTAAAATTCTGATCTAATTGAATCTTTTAAATGGTCCTTAGAACATATCCTGAAAGTTTCAAGGTGATTGCTCAAAAAATGTAGGAGAAGATAGAATTTTAGACTCGATCTTCAGGGCACGCGATTGAAAATCGCTCGCGCAATACAATTACACATCAGCGCTGACCTTTGACCGACAATCAATTCGGCTAGGAACAATATTTTTCCATGGGACCAAAAGCAGCAGATAGATATTACTCCCCTCTATCAGAAACAACTATAAAATCAATTTCGAGAGAAATTTCATAAAGACCCCCCCTGCCCCCTTAAGACTATTAAGTTGTTGAGCATGTGGTGCTGACCGTAATAACAGCTGCGAGGTTATTAAGCATAATTTAGAACTGCAATGTCTATAAAAGATATGAGAGTTTTTGTAACTTTTCACTAAATCATGGGAGTTGGATGATACCCAAGAAGAAGTATAATATTTACCACTATTAAAGTCTACAGTCCACACATTATGTGAAAAAAAAACGTTAATATCTACGTTAAAATATGTTCAAAATATAAACTGCGTGGCGCGCGCAGAATGGAGTTACAATTTATGAGAAGCTGATAATTTATGGTGATCTTTACTGTTTACCAGTTAACTCACTAGAGTAAGGTTCTCCGAAGATCTTGACCTCTGATATAGAGTGCCCAGTCCAGCCCCTATCCAGATCCTTAATCAACACACTGTCCCCTCTACTTCCCTTACAGTTGAAGGTGTAAGTCTGTACTGCCTTGTTGCCATAGTTACCTGCCTTGTTACCATAGTTACCATAGTTACCATAGTACCTCGACTCATCTCCTGTCGACAATATAGTTCAGACTCAAGTGGGGGCGGGGCGGGTAGTCTTTCAGTTCACGTATTTATCTAGTTACAGATGTGGGGGCGGGGGCGGGTAGTCTTTCTTTTCACGTATTTATCTAGTTCCAGATGTGGGGGCGGGGGGCGGGTAGTCTTTCTGTTCGCGTATTTATCTAGTTACAAATGTGGGGGCGGGGGGGGGGGGTAGTCGTGCTGTTCACGTATTTATCTAGTTCCAGATGGACAGCTGACCTGAAAAAGCTGAATGCTCGACATTTTTATATTTTAGGAGTATAAGTTGGGGTAAGTTCTTATTCCTTACCTCTAAGAATCCCACAAATGTTTGAAGGAAGGTTCCTAATTTGTGATTCAGTTGCTGATCAAATCCAAGATCATAGACGAATCAAAAGGATACTAATTTATGTAATTGCATAATGTGTCACCCGAAAATATCACATAATTATCACGTAGTTATACAATGTCGCGTACTTAAGAGGATGTTGTGTTGGGGAACCTGGCTAAATATCAGCTACTTTAGTATAGTAGTGATGATATAGTAGTGAGACATAACAGTTTAAAAATAGTAGATTAAACTATATATTTCTCATTATTTGATTTAAAAAAAATTGATTGCACTATCAGGTAGATAAGTTGGTTAGTGTGTAAGGAGTAAATAACAATAGTAACCATAGTAACTGCTAGTAACCATAGTAACTCCTAGTTACCACAGTAACTGCTAGTAACCATAGTAACTGCTAGTTACCATAGTAACTGCTAGTCACTATAGTAACTGCTAGTTACTATAGTAACTGCTAGTAACCATAGTAACTGCTATTAACCACAGCAACACCCTTCAGGTAGATAAGCTGGTGAGTGTGAAAGGAGTAAATAACAGATACAGAGGAGAGATAGGAGATGTGGTGGTGGGGAGGATAACTGAAGTTCAGCAGAAAAAGTGGAAGGTTTTTATAATAGATTTTACAGTTTTGAAATGAAATGGATATGGGACTCGTTATATTTAATTATCATATTTTACATTTTTATTTAGACTTTGGCCCATGCGTTTGTTTTTTTGATCTGCAATAACGAGTCCAAACCTATTTTGACCCATCTTTGTTCTGATCTTGTGTCGTGGTTTTGGGATCCTGAGTGGGTATCGGGATTGGATAGTGCTGTCAGACCTTGAGGGGCAGCTTAAGTTTCCCAGTGAGATTGTGGAAACACGGCTGAGGCCGGACCTTGTGATATTCTCAAGGTCGGCAAAGACAGTTATTTGGTGGGAGCTAACAGTACCATCTGAAGAGCGGATCGCTGAATCGCACGAGTACAAACTCGACCGATACAGCGGTCTGCAGGCTGAGATTCGGGCGAAAGGTTGGTGCTGTTATAATGCCGCAGTCGAAGTTGGAGCTAGGGGAGTGGTTGCGCAGAGTTTGGAGAGAGCTGCGAGGAGGATTGGTTTTAGGGGAAGAGAGCTGAAGAAGCTGGTACGGGACAGTGGGAAAGAGGCAGCCCACTGTTCCAGATGGATTTACTTGTTATCGAGAAAGAGGGAGTGGGAGTTCAGGAAGGTTGGAGCTTGAGAGTTCACTATAACATCTAGAGGTACCATAAACGTTATCTCGTCGCCAATTGCGAGCTCTAACGGGTCTCCTCAAGTGACTCTCGGATAATATGGTGGTTCAAGGGTGGACTGCTGGGGCGCCTGCAGGAAACCGTATTGCGATTAAAGCCCCGAAACGGTGTCAGGTTGGTAACTGATGATTCTGATCCATGCTCCTGTGAGTTTGCTGTTGTATCTCATTTCGCTAAACTGAGGCATCTCCGCATCTTGGGTGAATATGCGTACATCTTCATACTAAACCCAGGTGTGGCATGTGTCAGTGAATACGGGCGAGCGGATGCAATAGCGAAGGTGGTGTGGCAAGGCCTAAAAGACACAGTCAGATAGTTGTCAGCTCGCTGACTGTAAGGGAGAAGGTATATCCGTATTTCGCTGCTACTGATGCAGTCCTTGATCTGGCAATCAAGGTTTTCTGTTTTTCGTCTAACTATGTACCGTTGGGCTTGTGGAATCCGTAGGGGGGACATACATAGGTTGGAATGGTTTTGTGCACCAAGAGGAGTGAGGGAATGAGGGTTGAAGAGAGAGCTAGAGAGTTGTTAGGGTGGTTAGGATCAGTAGGTGGATTGATTGATTGATTGATTGATTGGGGGACTGGTCCGTAGTACCAGCCAATGTTTACTCAAAAGTAATATATAATTGAAATAAGTTAAATATTCATCCCCGAGGGGCACGCAGATTATAATTGTGATGTTATTTATTAAAACTATTCGATTAAAATTTTATTGGTCGAGTCGACTGGCCCTGATCTGCAAACATATTTGATATTGGTAACTTTATGATGCTGCCTCACCGCAATTAGGTGTGTTATCAGTGTAGATATGCGCTATGTGGCAGTGAAATAAGGAATGTGCTGTTAGAATGGCAGGTGGTTTGAAATGTTGTCCTGATTCAGATTGTTTAATTTGAGCTGTATGAGTTTGGTTTTGAGTGATTATTGACTATGTTCTTTGTGATTTACGTAATCCAGGTAGGTTGTGGAGTAAAAATGGTGGCCATTCGTCGTTGCAGCCAATACTTTGCAAGTCTAGTAGTACTTTTTTTGACGAATTCTTATATATGTTGATAGAAAATATACTGGATGGGCATGTAATGCGAGTGTTATGCTCTGAAATAGCGAGCATTGGGCCTTTATAAAAGATGCTAGATCTCAGGTCAGTCTGTGAGTAAATTGATAACCAGTCTAAGTTTTGTTCGTGTGTCGTTCCTTGTTTGGGTGTGTTAGGAGGGAAAAGTTCTGAAATCGATTTAGGTAACAAACTAGACATATTTCGAGTGTTTGGTTGGAGCGTTCTGTTTTTGCCAAGTATTTTTGTGACCTATTTTTGTTCAGGTGGACTGTGGTTCCAGATTAGACTGCCAACTACAGCTGAGTTCAGTGTACTTACCTGGAAACGTTCTGCGGAGGAAGACCCTTAATGATGAGCTGATGATGAGGGAGTATTTCACTGAGGGGGACCTCGTCTGTGCTGAGGTATGTGTGATGTCAGAGTTACTTACATGTACAGTAGTAACTGTAGTAACTGTAAGTGTAATGTAGATAATATAGTTACCTACGATAGTAACCATAGTAACTGCTAGTAACCATAGTAACACACAGGTATCAGATGTAGGGAATATAGACGGTATGTTAAAGTTACACATGAGGTCCAACAAGTACGGGAAACTACCTGAGGGGGTTCTCATCAAGGTAAAATAAATGAATAAACTGTTTTAAATTAATTGTATTAAGACATAATATTCGTATTCGTATAAGAACATATTATTCAACATTTTCATTGCATCAAAGTTCCACGTACACGTTTATGTGATATTTTTGCACTAAGTAACTCTTGTATTAACAAAATGCCAGGTCCCCAGCGTGCTAATAAAAAGAAGCAAGCTCCATTTCCACAGATTACCATGTAACGCTACTGTGATACTTGGGAACAATGGGTTCGTGTGGGTCGGACCACATTTCTCACCAGATCAGCCGGTAAATAAATTTACTTTCGCTTTCGCTTTCACTTTTTTTCATCGATCAAGATCAGCTCGTACACAAATCCAACAGTTTAGACATTCTTAATCTTGTACTCCAAATCAATCTGATACAAAGCCTCCCTACTTCAGATTGAGGCGTTCACGATAAACTCCAGAGAAACAATTGCGCGTCTTAGTAACGTGATCAGAGCTCTAGCTGCGTACGGAGTGCAACTATTCGACACTATTATCTTAACTGCCTATGATATCTCTATGAAGTATAAGGTGAAGGAGCTGCTTAATGCGGAGGTTATGGAGCATGTGGCCCAGGAGAGTTATGAACATTCTCTACATCAGAATTTGTAGTTTTCAAAATTAATTTTTAAAATAATTTAAACCTCTGTCCAAATTAAGCTGGATCACTATTAATTTATTCTTTTAATGCACTACGTTCACTGGGGAATGTACTGAATATGTCATTAACTGCAGTGGTTTTTAAGTTGATATATTTGTCAAATCCTTTTATTTAGAAACTTCAATTCGGGAATTTGAAGTTTTTCAATTTGGTTTTTGAGTATAATTCCTTTTAATCAACTTACTGTGTCTAATTTAGTACAAAATACAAAATAATCGAATTCTCTTACTGCTACTCGAACTCTCTGATAATTAAATGTTTCATTTTAATAATATTAGCGCAAACATCACAATAATATACCCTCTATTTCCCTTTAATAGCTGATGATGACATGTACAACTTAATGTGAAGTACAACTCAGTGGGACTAGACCACTACTCATGACGTCCCTTACTCAGCTATCCTCCTTGTTGAGAAACCTCTCTGTCTCGAGATGTCTCAATGTGTCTCAAGTCCTCTCCAGAGGTTGGTCTCAAATCTTCTCTAGAGAGAACCAATTTCGTCAGAATGATATTGAGCCTAAAAAAATGGTTATTCATTAATCTTTGCGACTTATAACTATTTTGTTTCGATAGTTATCATGGTTATAACTTATGATAGTTAACATGGTTATGATAGTTGTTATCTAAAAGTCATGGTTACTATGGTTACTCAGGTGTCCACCACGCCCCACGAGACCCTAACCACGTACACAGAGGAGGAGCTAAGTTCTACCTGCCCCCAGAACCAGCCTCTATACACCCTCCCTGTCCTATTAGAGCTGACCCTGCCATGGCTACTACACGTGATGATGTGAAACTTATCTTCGGTAAACTTTAGTTTGTTCATCCTCATATTCCCTTATATGGGCATCACGTGTTTATTCCTCATTATATTCTTGATGTACAACCTAAATGTATTAATGTCAGTAATAATCCCATTTTGACCGACGCGATTGTTGATTTTGCAGTGATTGTTCGCAATATATTACGTCGATATCTCAGGTCCACAAAGTAAGCTGAAGAGAACAGGAGGACGGGACCCGGAGACGGGAATTAAGATCTTCAGAGCTAGAGGTGGAGGTTCTGATAAACAGGAGAGACACGTCAACAAACACCGCCTACCCGTCAGTTAACTTACTTAATTACAAACTTTTCAATACTTTTATTAATACTTTTAAAACAAAGTTACAACGAATTCTTCATGTAGTGCATCCTGGGCCGGGTTTGGACAGGACATGCCCGTCTAAAATATTTCCATCACGTTACATTACATAATTCTCAATAAATGTAATAGATATGTAGTGTTGTAATTAGTTTTAAAATATATTTGTAATATTTACTTACTTATAAATACAATAAGCATCGTCAGCTTATTATATGTACAATGATTTTCAGTTCAGCCCTACGCCTATTGCATTATATGTTTGTTTAATTTGGTCTCTTATCTGCTTTCTTATCTCGCCTTGTTTAACGGCGAGATATTGTGCCTCTCACCTTACATCATGACAGCTGTGGACGCCAAAGAATCGACGGTATTATATTTAAAGATGAGGCTTGGATGGCAAGTTAAAGCAGCTGAAAAACACTCTAAGATCAACCAAGAATCAGTTGATTGAGAATCAGATATGGGTCATCAGATTTCAGGAAACAATAAATAACTGCAACGGGGAACAGTTGCAGTCAGTGGAGACCTCTGTAAAAGACACGGTTGAGATTCAGTTAAAATCGTACAGTGACGCAAGTATGGTAACGTCACGCCACTGATCGCACCATATTGGATAATATGTGTTGTTATGTTTCAGGAAGACGCAGGTAGCGGTACTATAAAGTACAGAGTGCTACAAATACAGGAGTGTGAGGTTAACAACGCTGATTTAGCTTTGGTAGCTGGTCCTCATATCACGTGAGTTCCCCCCCCCCCCCCCCCCCCCCCCCCTTTTACCCCTCCATCTTAACACATCCCCTCTATAATGGAAGATGGTAAAAATTCCGGAAGATTACAGAAATTTTCGTCATTTAGGCCGTCAATAGAATGTCAGAAACAGCGAAAAGATTTCGGAATTAATACCATTTTCAATTCAGTACGCCAGAATAACTTTCCATCAAATTGACGCAATCCAACTAGCTGTAATTAACTAATTACTTTAGGCAGAATGGAACAATCCCGACCCACCTTAAGTGGGAAGCTTAGGTGGGAAGCTTAGGTGGGAAGTTTAGGTGGGAAGTTTAGGTGGGAAGCTTAGGTGGGACTTTGGATCACATCACTCTTAACTTAGAAGTGAGAGAACCATGGGACTGTTGCAAGCATCGCAGTTCTGGGTGGGTTTTAGAATCTGTTTGGTCATCAGGAACGATCTGGAACTGTCTTCGGTTGCTGCTAGGGTCATTATCTCAAAGTGAAGTCCAAGTCTAGCTGGTTGGAAAGGCATGTTGATAGATTGTGGTTGCGGGGTAGGATGAAAATGATGATCTTAACGGTATTTATACCATAGTGTGATTTAATGACGTGCGAAGTGAAGTGATTATCACCACAATCTGTCCTTGACAATATTCACGGACCAATCACACGATCCTCTAAGAGTCCCACTTAAACTTCCCACCTAAACGCTCTGACACTGAACTCAGCCATAAGGTGAACTTCTAAGTTAAGAGTGATGTGATCCAAAGTCCCACCTAAACTTCCCACCTAAACTTCCCACCTAAACTTCCCACCTAAGCTTCCCACTTAAGGTGGGTCGGGATTGTTCCATTCTGCCTTACTTTAATTAACTAATTACTTTAATCAACTATTTACTTTTATTAACTTATTACTTTTATTAACTATTTATTTTACCCAGGTACATAACCCAGCCTGAAGGGCTAAATGTTGGGGACGTGATTGAAGCTAGCAGAACTAAGCTCGGTAGTTTGAATCCAGGCTGTGCTTACCCTTTAAAACTCCTTCCAGTCGGTAGGTTTTAGAAACATTAGATTGTGTTTAGTTACCTGGGGGAAGTACTAAGTGATGATTTTCTCAATATGTCACGTGTTGCCTCGCGTATAGGTCGTGTACCTTTTAGAAAATTATTTGTAAAACCACTCATTCGGAACAAATATTTTACGTTTCATTTATAAATGAAACGTAAGATATTTGTTCATGGCAAAGCTATTATTCATGGCAAAGCTATTATTGTAAATAACATTTCTGACGAACACGAAGTTTTCGTCTGTTCAAGTTTAAGCGGGGGGGGGGATCTTAAGGTCAGAATCGTACGTGACGTTGGGGGGTGGGTCATATTTTCTTCCAAAACGCAGTTATTACTTTTGTACTAGGTGGTGGGTCTGCTAGGTGGTGGGTCTGCTGCTCATTTCCCAGAAAAACAGTTAGTACATGGTACTAAAGGGGGTGTCCAACCCCAAAAAACCATTTAACCTTAAATTTCAATTTTGGGAATGGGTTTTGAGGTTTTTTAAAGTTTTTTTTTGGGTTTTTTTTTATTTTGTTGTAGCTTTTTATCTAATTCGACTACATTGAAAACAAAACCCCTACTAAATAGTGGGTATAATTTGCCCATTTACCAATGTTTAATGAACTGTTTAAAACAATTTACGGGTGGGTATCTTATTTTATATACCAAGACACGGTTAGTACCGTGATTTCTCAACAGTTAGTACCGCAAAAGCCAGCAAAAAGGGTGGGTGTCTTAATTATTATCCGAAAAAACAGTTAGTACCGCGAAGGGGGTGGGTGGGTCTTTTGAAAAATTCCAAAATTGCACTTAGTCGACGTCACGTACGGCACTTGGTGCCTGATCCCCCCGGGTTTAAGCAAGACTATCGCTTGGTTGTTGTTATTATTTCTCAATCCCGTTAATCTAGTAAATGTAATGGTTGCAGGAATAAAAGTCAACTCAGTGGAGCCAGAGCCTGGAAAAGGCTCCAGCTTTGCCATGAACTCTGGGACATTCTGTGAAATAATGAAACACACTCTAGCTCGAGACAAGACCCTTATCCAACATCCCTCAGGTTTGCAATTAGACGTGGCCTGAAATATTATTATTATCAGCTGAAAGGAAACAATAAGTTGGCCCGTATCTTAGTGTAGACGACTATTACATGTGTTAGCGGAGGGAGGTTATGCGGAGGGATGTTATGGGGAGGGAGGTTATGCGGAGGGAGGTTATGCGGCTAGCCTCCCCCCTCTCATCTTGTGCAAATTTTCGCATTTGTGCCGGATGTCTCGGAAAAGTGGTTGGCGAAAATCCAGATTAAGTTATCATTCAGTTAAGCTTTAAAGTTTTACAGGTGTATCACAGTGGGTTGACAGTGATTGTGTCGCGACTCTAGGCAGAGTGAAGCAGACTGCCAGAGCTGTTGAGATACTGGGATCATGGAAGGTTTGTCTGGAGTTAACAAACTAACTGAATACTTTGTTCAAGTCGGAAATTACGAAATTTTGAAGTAGTCTAAATTAGAAATGATCGCACATTTATCGCTGCTGAATTTTTTTGTGAAATCTTGTCTGGCAAGAGTTTGGAACCAGCTCACGTGTTCACGTTTACAGGCTTCAAGAGCGAAGGGTATAAAACCAAGAGCGGACCGTCAGAGATGTTGGAACTGGAGGAAGAGGAGATTGCGACATAGAATGGATCAGAAGTGGGCTAAGCGGTGTTTACGCTACTTAGACGACAGACCTTGGGTAATAATACCACTAATATTACTAGTATTTCTAATATTACTTAGCAGTGTTTACGCTACTTAGAGTTAGACCACAGACCTTGGGTGATGTTTTTATTAAAATATGCGCGGTTTTATTTTTTGTGTTTTTATTTGATTTGTTGACAGATAAAACCGCTAATTAGCCACATATTTCCGGCATTTCAGCATTTCATAGAATACTTATTTGCGGAGGTCATTATCATGTTGCCGCCTAACTTAATAAAAAATATATAATAATAACGATGGTTCAAATAAACCAATTTTTCTATAATTAACGCTACTTTAATCCTCGTTTATCACGTTTGTTCTTGTAGGTTTATAACCTACCAAGACGCGCGCCGTTGGACTCGTCGACGGTCTTGTATATTTAAAACGAATATTTTACGATTATCACCCGTTAAGTTTGTTCTGATAACAAATTCCTCTATCAGGCGGGACAAGAACACTTTGTACCTGAAACGTTTGAGAGGTTCAGGTACCACTTCGGAGACCGGAAACCGGAGTATTTCATCCGGAAACTAAAGCAAAAAGATCCGGAGATTCTGAAGCACATTGATAAGCGCAAGTTTGAACCGAGAGAGTAAGTTTATAAATCTAGAGTTTAATAAATGATAATAACGATGGTATAAATAAACCAATTGTTGCTATAAAATGAACGTTACTTTTCCCCCCACGTACATAACACCAGTACAATAAATTCATGTTTACAAATACAATCAGGCAGGACAATGACATTTTGTTCCCGAAACGTTAATTCGGTGGAATCAATATATTCGGGATTATCTACTCCAAAATAAATGATCTAATATAACATATTCCCAAAATATGATATTATGTTTCTAAATAATAACCTACATTTTCTAAGTAATGGTAAACTTATAAGGCCAAACAAGCACTGAGTTTTGGGTTGGATCCCCTTGAGGAGCTGGAGAAAATACCACTAAATAACAAATTTTAAAGCTTCAACTGAAACCGGAAACATTCTCTCCGGCCACGCCCATATTTTTCACCAATTTTTATCAACCTTTAGTTTTAATTGATTTTGTGGGACAAAGTGAGTCTCCATTCAGTTTTTCAAACAAATAGTTGTCGACGTTTCGGCTCATGCCCTTGTCATGGACAATACGTTACAATTACAGTTACTTCTTACATAGCTCAATTAATGTAATAGATTTGTAGTGTTGTAATTAGTTTAAACCTTTAGTTTTACTATGAACCTCCCTACAGAGAGAAGTTATACCAGTGTTCCTACGAGGACTTCTCCGGGCAGAAGACTGAAGTAATGTGGGCTGAGAGACAGAGGTGGAGATACTGGAAAGTAAGAAAGGGTATTGCTAACAAGAGATAAAACTGCAGTATTAACTTAGTTTAATTAGTAGTACCTGTTCATGTATGAACCTCCCTAGTCCCTACTGTTCCTATAATATTAAGTTAATTTGATTGTTTAAAGGTGAATATTGTGTGTATTTTAGCCGTGGCCTGGATATTGTGTGTTGACTTTTATTGCAAATTACTGCGAGAGGGACCTATTTATTTTAGACTTAAATTATTATTCATGTTATAAAATCTGCTAATGTTCTTTAGTTTGCCAAGAAACCCCTTTTCCAACAACCCATAAAATGATAAAGTTTTGTAATTTTCTAATATTTTCCAAATATTTTACTTGATCGAGAAGTTAATTTCATTTCCTAGAGTCTGAATTCTAATTTCAGCCTGATGTAGCCCATAGCTACCTTTACAAATTACTAAAATCCTGGGTTAACCGTTAGAGTGACAAATTATTATTGCAACAACTAACTAAATTGACAAATCCACTAACTAAACTAGGTATTTATACAAGAATTTAAATTAAATTAAAAAGACTTGTGTTTAAACAAATCGGAGACAGCTTAATAACTGAACAAATTCTTTAGTAAATAACTTAACATATTCTTTAGTAAATAATTAACAAATTCTTTAGTAAATAACTAAACTTCTTCTCTAGCTCTTTAGTCAGCCATGTCACGCACCGGTCTCCTCGCACAGTTTAAAAGAACTCTTCAAACTGCCACCGTCACCAAACCTTTTGATAAAGTGAGATAGTATTTTAAAACTCTATTCCATTAATTAAAAAAATGCTGAAAATAGCACATTCTTCGGAACGTATTTCTACAGACAAAGATACTGGGGGAGGTGAGCTTTCTGAAGGGAAACAACCATTGATCAGTCAGTTTCCAGCAGGGACCACCCAACTCCATACATCAGTACCACGTGTCAAACCAAATAAAGCTCACCCCAACCAGTATCCTGGTCTACAATTAACACGAGTGGTCTCCTGGCAGGTACTGATAGCGAACAGAGGGGAGATAGCATGCCGTGTAATGAAGACGTGCCGCTCGCTCGGCATCAAGACAGTCGCGGTGCACAGTGACGTGGACGACCGCGCGCTGCACGTGCGGATGGCTGATGAGGCTATTTGTGTGGGACCGGCTCCTAGCAACCAGAGTTACCTGGACATGGAGGTAAGATGATGGCTCAACATAATTTATTTTATTGGGATCTTTTAGCTGCAACAAAGTCATTATAATTCATTATTTTGCAGAAGATAGATCACTTAAAATGAAGTTCTCCAAAACTTATCGTTTAGTATATTCATTTTACTTAACCATATTACGGGGGAATCATGATCCAGCCCTCCCCCTATAATGTATATAATCACTGAAGTGGTGACTGTTATCTAAACTGTATACTATCAGGCGATAGTGAACGCGGCAGTAAGTACAGGATCTCAAGCAGTACACCCAGGGTACGGGTTCCTCAGTGAGAACTGTAAGTTCGCTCAACTCCTTGAGGAGAGGGGTATAGCCTTCATTGGGCCTAAAGAAAAGGCTATACAGGTACAGTAGTTTAGGAGACTTTCATTAACTAAAATAGTTGGAATATTGATAGAATATTTAACTGTTAACTGTTAACTAACAAGTAACAATGACCTAGTACTACTCAATTTGTTATATTAACCCCCCCCCCCCCGGCCCCCCGGCCCCCCCCCCCCCCCCCCCCATGAGTTTCTCTGATAAAACTACCCTGTCAGGCTATGGGTGATAAGATAGAGTCCAAGATAATAGCGCGTGCTGCAGGTGTGAACTGTATACCTGGTTATGATGGTGTTGTGGAGGACGATGTGGCTGCGGTCACTATTGCTAATCAAGTCGGGTTAGTTAGTTTACAGTTTCCTGTTATTGGAGCAGCTAGTTACCATAGTTACCTGTTAATTCACAATTATCTGGCGCTGTGGTTGACCATAGTTTATTTTTATCTGGACTGCGCTGACTACTGTACTAGCAGTAAACTCTACTGGGCAGAAAACCATCTACGGTAATACAGTATTTGAACTACTTTGATCCACGATATCACGACGCGACATGCCCTAGGTAATATCATAACATTTCAGATATCCTGTAATGATAAAGGCATCGGCCGGAGGTGGTGGAAAAGGTAAGCACAGTTTACAGCGTAATTTATAAATATATCCCCAAAAAACCCTCAGAAGTATATAGTACTTTTAGTCTTATACCGTTTTGATTTAAAGAACAGTTTTAGGCGGGAAAGGGGACCCCTTTACCCTGTTCACGCAGTCTCGCGGGCAAGCCCACGTGTCACATCACGAGAGTGGGCGAGTCAAGTAGTGCCGGCAGGCGTCCGACCCTGGGGGCTTCCGGGCTGTTATATAATTATTTCTCGAATAAAACTATATAATCTTATCGGAATAAGATAAGGTGATCCATAGGGCGGTCCAAATCTTTTTCGGGGATATAAATTAAATATTATATCTGCATAAATTTGATAAATTATACTATTCATGTACGACTAATTAAGCAAATATAGACGGGTCCATTTAAACTTTACACTCGACCCTTTCACTATTTCACACCTTGGCTACCAAGAAAGTGTGGGCGGTGTCCAACCCCAAAAAACCCATTTTACCTTAAATTTCCATTTTGGGAATGGGTTTTTTTTTTCTCTCTCCTTTTTTTGAGCTTTTTGTCTAATTCGACTACTTTGAAAACAAAACCCCTAGGTACTCTTTTCAATGTTTTCTAATCAAGTAAGAGTTCACTGACCTATACTGGCCCCTCAATTCTAACCTTTTTTCTTTTAAAAACCCAAAAATACCCAAAAAAACCCAACTTTACCTGAAATTTCCATTTCGAGGATGGGTTTTTTAGGGTTGGACACCCCAACAGTAAATAACAGTTACATTCTCACCACCAGGTATGAGAGTAGCGTGGAATGACGCTGAAGTGAGGGAGGGATTTAAACTGAGCTCAGAGGAGGCCGCAGCTAGTTTTGGAGATGATAGACTTCTCATTGAACGGTGTGTGTTCATTAATTTTATGATAACTTAATGCCAATGGTGTATTATCTTACTCGCTAGGCTTCAGATTTAATAATTCTTATAACTTAATAATTTTCATCGGATAAATATTCTGTATTAGTTTTATAAGTTCTTGAGTTTGTTGATTGATGACGTACAGGTTTATCGATAACCCTCGTCACGTAGAGATACAAATCTTGGCAGATAGCCAGGGAAACTGTATATACTTGAATGAAAGGGAGTGTAGTATTCAGAGGAGGAATCAGAAGGTTAGTACGTTCCTTAGAAGTTACTATAATTACTATAGTTACTATAATTACTATAGTTACTATAGCTCTATAGTTACTATAGTTACTATAGTTACGATAGTTACTATAGTTACTATAGTTCCTTAGTTATTATTATATTCATATCAATCAATCAGTTTATCGACTGCTCTTGCAGTTATGACCTCAGTCCGGTATCTTACTGACCATCTTATCCAGGTAGTTGAGGAAGCGCCAAGTCCCTTCATCACTCCTGAAGTGAGAAAAGCTATGGGAGAACAAGCGGTGCTGCTGTCTCAAGCTGTAAATTATCAGGTTAGTTTAGTATTTTAACCAAACTTTTATAATTGTTTACCCTGACCCACTGCAGTCAGCAAATTTGTATATTCAGGATACTCTTTGATAGATTTCAATGTAGTTCACAGTGGCGTAACGAAGGGCCCCGCGCCATCTTAGGAGGGCGCGAAATCGTCGTTTGAATGTGGGACAATTTTGAAAAACTTAACTGAGGTACTAGCAAAACTGCGCGTTTTACTCTAGAAACACACTTTTTTTGGGAATTTCTTCATGTTCCTTTAAACACTGTTTATTACCAGAGTGCGGGCACGGTAGAGTTCCTAGTGGACACCCAAATGAACTTCTACTTCCTGGAGATGAACACGAGACTGCAAGTTGAGCACCCTATCACGGAGTGTATAACTGGGGTAAGTACCTTCAGCACTGGTTACTAATGGTAGTAACCTGTAACCTAGTAACCTAGTGCCATTGCTTGCTTCATTCCTTTATCTTACATTTGTAGTTCTAGTCTATGTGTGCAGTAGGGAAAAGTGAAATGAAATAGCGGGGGATATGCTAAATACTTGATACTAACACATATTATTTCAGGTGGATATAGTGGATGAGATGTTACGCGTAGCGGCCGGCTACCCTCTCAGCTATACCCAATCTGATATCGGAATCAAAGGTACGTGTCTTACACTTATCACCCCTGCTGTGTTTGGCGCAAATCAGTCACTATCAGCTTACTACTGAAGCCCGAAAATTTTCCTGAAACGTCCAAATCGTCCAATAAACGTGAAAATACGCCGAAGACCTGCTCGAGACCTGCTCCCAAGTACTGCACAGTATGCATGCTAACTGTTAATTTCAGGATGGGCCATGAAGTGTAGAGTGTATTACTGGTTACTAGGTTACTAGGTTACTAGGTTACTAGGTGACTAGGTTACTAGGTTACTAAGGAGCTATTTGAGAGTATTCCTGCTAACTGCTAATTTCAGGATGGGCTATGGAGTGTAGAGTGTACGCAGAGGACCCAGTCAGATATCTGCCCAGTGTAGGTCTACTCACCAAGTACACAGAACCAGGCGTCTCTCACAACACTGCAGAACTAGGTTAGTGTATTACTGGTTACTAGATTACTAGGTTACTAGGTTACTAGGTTAGTGTATACTGGTTACTAGGTTACTAGGTTACTAGGTTAGTGTATTACTGGTTACTAGGTTACTAGGTTACTAGGTTACTAGGTTACTAGGTTACTAGGTTACTAGGTTACTAGGTTACTAGGTTAGTGTATTACTGGTTACTAGGTTACTAGGTTACTAGGTTACTAGGTTAGTGTATTACTGGTTACTAGATTACTAGGTTACTAGGTTAGTGTATTACTGGTTACTAGGTTACTAGGTTACTAGGTTAGTGTATTACTGGTTACTAGGTTACTAGGTTACTAGGTTAGTGTATTACTGGTTACTAGGTTACTAGGTTAGTGTATTACTGGTTACTAGGTTACTCCCAACTAGGTTAGTGTATTTCAGGTTTAGTTCTCCGCGAATTTAGCAGTTGTTCAACAACTACAAGTGTTAGTTTTACAGCGAAGATGATGATGATTGTCAGATTGAAGATAATTGATTCCTGATTCCCTCCATTCTCCAGGAGTACGATGTGATAGTGGTATAGTAGAGGGTAGCAGCATTAGTATCCACTACGATCCCATGATATCTAAACTAGTAACATACGCTCCAACAAGGCAGGAAGCTATAGATCACATGGAGAAAGCTCTGGATGAGTATGTTATTGACGGCATCACTCATAACACTCCACTTTTACGGGAGATACTGGGAAATGAGAGGTTAGTTTAGTTTGTTATTGACGGCAACACTCATAATACTCCACTTTTACGGGAGATACTGGGAAATGAGAGGTTAGTTTAGTATGTTATTGACAGCATCACTCATAATACTCCACTTTTACGTGAGATACTGGGAAATGAGAGGTTAGTTTAGTTTGTTATTGACGGCATCACTCATAATACTCCACTTTTACGGGAGATACTGGGAAATGAGAGGTTAGTTTAGTATGTTATTGACAGCATCACTCATAATACTCCACTTTTACGTGAGATACTGGGAAATGAGAGGTTAGTTTAGTTTGTTATTGACGGCATCACTCATAATACTCCACTTTTACGGGAGATACTGGGAAATGAGAGGTTAGTTTAGTATGTTATTGACGGCATCACTCATAATACTCCACTTTTACGGGAGATACTGGGAAATGAGAGGTTAGTTTAGTATGTTATTGACGGCATCACTCATAATACTCCACTTTTACGGGAGATACTGGGAAATGAGAGGTTAGTTTAGTTTGTTATTGACGGCATCACTCATAACACTCCTCTTTTACGGGAGATACTGGGAAATGAGAGGTTAGTTTAGTTTGTTATTGACGGCATCACTCATAATACTCCACTTTTACGGGAGATACTGGGAAATGAGAGGTTAGTTTAGTTTGTTATTGACGGCATCACTCATAACACTCCTCTTTTACGGGAGATACTGGGAAATGAGAGGTTAGTTTAGTTTGTTATTGACGGCATCACTCATAACACTCCACTTTTACGTGAGATACTGGGAAATGAGAGGTTAGTTTAGTTTGTTATTGACGGCATCACTCATAACACTCCACTTTTACGTGAGATACTGGGAAATGAGAGGTTAGTTTAGTTTGTTATTGACGGCATCACTCATAATACTCCACTTTTACGGGAGATACTGGGAAATGAGAGGTTAGTTTAGTTTGTTATTGACGGCATCACTCATAACACTTCACTTTTACGGGAGATACTGGGAAATGAGAGGTTAGTTTAGTTTGTTATTGACGGCATCACTCATAATACTCCACTTTTACGGGAGATACTGGGAAATGAGAGGTTAGTTTAGTATGTTATTGACGGCATCACTCATAATACTCCACTTTTACGGGAGATACTGGGAAATGAGAGGTTAGTTTAGTTTGTTATTGACGGCATCACTCATAACACTCCACTTTTACGGGAGATACTGGGAAATGAGAGGTTAGTTTAGTTTGTTATTGACGGCATCACTCATAACACTCCACTTTTACGGGAGATACTGGGAAATGAGAGGTTAGTTTAGTATGTTATTGACGGCATCACTCATAATACTCCACTTTTACGGGAGATACTGGGAAATGAGAGGTTAGTTTAGTTTGTTATTGACGGAATCACTCATAACACTCCACTTTTACGGGAGATACTGGGAAATGAGAGGTTAGTTTAGTTTGTTATTGACGGCATCACTCATAATACTCCACTTTTACGGGAGATACTGGGAAATGAGAGGTTAGTTTAGTTTGTTATTGACGGCATCACTCATAACACTCCACTTTTACGGGAGATACTGGGAAATGAGAGGTTAGTTTAGTTTGTTATTGACGGCATCACTCATAATACTCCACTTTTACGGGAGATACTGGGAAATGAGAGGTTAGTTTAGTTTGTTATTGACGGCATCACTCATAACACTCCACTTTTACGGGAGATACTGGGAAATGAGAGGTTAGTTTAGTTTGTTATTGACGGCATCACTCATAATACTCCACTTTTACGGGAGATACTGGGAAATGAGAGGTTAGTTTAGTTTGTTATTGACGGCATCACTCATAACACTCCACTTTTACGGGAGATACTGGGAAATGAGAGGTTAGTTTAGTTTGTTATTGACGGCATCACTCATAACACTCCTCTTTTACGGGAGATACTGGGAAATGAGAGGTTAGTTTAGTTTGTTATTGACGGCATCACTCATAACACTCCACTTTTACGTGAGATACTGGGAAATGAGAGGTTAGTTTAGTTTGTTATTGACGGCATCACTCATAACACTCCTCTTTTACGGGAGATACTGGGAAATGAGAGGTTAGTTTAGTTTGTTATTGACGGCATCACTCATAACACTCCTCTTTTACGGGAGATACTGGGAAATGAGAGGTTAGTTTAGTTTGTTATTGACGGCATCACTCATAACACTCCTCTTTTACGGGAGATACTGGGAAATGAGAGGTTAGTTTAGTTTGTTATTGACGGCAACACTCATAACACTCCACTTTTACGGGAGATACTGGGAAATGAGAGGTTAGTTTAGTTTGTTATTGACGGCATCACTCATAACACTCCTCTTTTACGGGAGATACTGGGAAATGAGAGGTTAGTTTAGTTTGTTATTGACGGCATCACTCATAACACTCCTCTTTTACGGGAGATACTGGGAAATGAGAGGTTAGTTTAGTTTGTTATTGACGGCATCACTCATAACACTCCTCTTTTACGGGAGATACTGGGAAATGAGAGGTTAGTTTAGTTTGTTATTGACGGCATCACTCATAATACTCCACTTTTACGGGAGATACTGGGAAATGAGAGGTTAGTTTAGTATGTTATTGACAGCATCACTCATAATACTCCACTTTTACGGGAGATACTGGGAAATGAGAGGTTAGTTTAGTTTGTTATTGACGGCATCACTCATAACACTCCACTTTTACGGGAGATACTGGGAAATGAGAGGTTAGTTTAGTTTGTTATTGACGGCATCACTCATAATACTCCACTTTTACGGGAGATACTGGGAAATGAGAGGTTAGTTTAGTTTGTTATTGACGGCATCACTCATAATACTCCACTTTTACGGGAGATACTGGGAAATGAGAGGTTAGTTTTGTTTGTTATTGACGGCATCACTCATAATACTCCACTTTTACGGGAGATACTGGGAAATGAGAGGTTAGTTTAGTTTGTTATTGACGGCATCACTCATAACACTCCTCTTTTACGGGAGATACTGGGAAATGAGAGGTTAGTTTAGTTTGTTATTGACGGCATCACTCATAATACTCCACTTTTACGGGAGATACTGGGAAATGAGAGGTTAGTTTAGTTTGTTATTGACGGCATCACTCATAATACTCCACTTTTACGGGAGATACTGGGAAATGAGAGGTTAGTTTAGTATGTTATTGACGGCATCACTCATAATACTCCACTTTTACGGGAGATACTGGGAAATGAGAGGTTAGTTTAGTTTGTTATTGACGGCATCACTCATAATACTCCACTTTTACGGGAGATACTGGGAAATGAGAGGTTAGTTTAGTTTGTTATTGACGGCATCACTCATAATACTCCACTTTTACGGGAGATACTGGGAAATGAGAGGTTAGTTTAGTTTGTTATTGACGGCAACACTCATAACACTCCTCTTTTACGGGAGATACTGGGAAATGAGAGGTTAGTTTAGTTTGTTATTGACGGCATCACTCATAACACTCCACTTTTACGGGAGATACTGGGAAATGAGAGGTTAGTTTAGTTTGTTATTGACGGCATCACTCATAATACTCCACTTTTACGGGAGATACTGGGAAATGAGAGGTTAGTTTAGTTTGTTATTGACGGCATCACTCATAATACTCCACTTTTACGGGAGATACTGGGAAATGAGAGGTTAGTTTAGGAAGTTCTAGACTTTTTCATTTCATGTGTATTTAGTGTCAAACACAAGAAAATTCCTTATGTCTTATAATAATATACCTTCGTTTTCCAAATACACTAGGTTCTACCTATACTAGTTACATGTTCATGTCAATAATGTGTATGTACCACACAAGATACTATTTCAACAGGTCGGAGACAGTCCATTCTGTCCGACCTCCATCATTTCTTACTACAGCTTACTAAAAGTTCTTTTAGTAAATGTAAACAAACGTCTACGTTTTTCTGTTTCTAAATATCTTTGCCAACTACAGTCTATTTATCCCACCGCTGACTGTCAACTGTATCTAACTTATAGCATCTCCCGCAAGGTTCAAATCAGGCAACATCTCCACCAAGTTTCTGGACGAGGAGTACCCCCAGGGCTACAGTGGAGGGGACCTCACTCCTGAGCAGAAGAGTGAACTGATTCCCTCTCTTTCTGTCCTACACCACATGAAGATGAACCGCACTGTCACTGATGTGAGTTTATTTTGAAAGATTGTATATATGTGGATTCTCGTGGGGAGGTGAGGTACATTAATTGTTTATTTTAATAGTAAGTACCCGCTCAGCAGAGGAGAGAGGTGATGCACATTTTGTATTATGTTTTTTTTTTTCGATTTCAGGACTTTAGGTTAAATTCGCAGTGGCAATGGCCGGAAGGGGCCTTTATAGTTGTAAAGAACGTGATATTTGGCCCTCAGATTTAAAGAAGAATGCGTAAATTTGGTCCTCGGATTTAAAGAAAAATGCGCAATTTGTCACGGAGAACTGGAAAAATCGCGATTCTGCACGTGCTGCGATTTCCTTTTGACCTTGTTACAAGCGTTCCATAATACAAAATGTGCATTTCTCTGCTGAGCGGGTACTTACCCTTAAAAATAAACAAATGTGCATCACCTCTCTCCTCTGCTGAGCGGGTACTTACTATTAAAGTAAACAAATGTTCCTCAACTCCTCACGAGAATTTTCCTATTGAATCACGTCTTTAATGCATCATGTTGACGTAAAACAAACCATATAAACGCTTTTTCCGTCAATATCAAGTTTTTGTGCGGATATTAACTCTTTACTTACAACAGTAGTCCGAGTAGTATACTGTAGTAACCATGGCAACCATGGTAACTGTAGTAACCATGGTAACCATGGTAACTGTAGTAACCATGGTAACTCTTGTCTTACTCTCTTTTTATCAGGGTAGGTTTGAGTACATAATAAGTTGTGACGAAGATAAAGTTCCTGTTACTGTTAATGTACAGAAAGGAGATTACACTGTTACCTTTGAGGACACAACTGTCACTGTTAACCCCTCCGGTTAGTTTTACCAAAAATAATATTCATAGTGAGGGGATATTCAGATCGGCACTACATCCTCAAAATCGGCTTACGTTTTCAATTAAATCTATTTAAGTTCCTTCACTATGAAATAACTAGCAAGTAACTGCCTACTTGACTAAATCAGTCACTTCAGCAGTTTTTCTATCCACCAATCAATGTCTCCGATTACTTAAGCTCTTAAGTAAGACACGTACAATTGTACGTGTCTTATTTCCACAAACTAACCTTTTCTCTGTTGCTTCTAGAACCCGGGAAATCTTGTAAAATTACACACAAAGTTACCCAGTAAGCAGTGTTCTCGTGTAACAAGCGAGGCGAGCACTAAATAAGAAACTTATCGAAAAGTGTATAATAAGCTGAATAATTAGAATCCGGAGGTTCTAAATAATTCTACCAATGTTATAAAGACCTTGTTGGAATTTTTGAAACTCATTCGTTGTTTGATTGGGGAAATATCGATCTTGATGGTTCTAATTACTAAACCCTCGTTAGGCGGAGTATTTGGTGCTCTACAAGAATTCAAGCTGAACTCTGCCAACACTGTTGCCCTGCAACATCTTCAATTTGACGGTTTGTAACAATATTTAACAATAATCGTTTAATCCTTATCTGCCGCTTTGCTGATAAGATGAACTTTCTGGTAACGATTTGAACATTGCTTTTACTTTTATGCTGTAATCCGCCATTTGAGGCTTTTTGAGCTCGATTCCGTTTCCATTGCAATTATAAACATCCAACGCATATAATAGTTAATTCAGACACGCCAAGTATTTTTGTTACAGATCGGAACGTCCGGAAGTGATGAACCATATTAATATATTTGTTAATCTTATAGGAATTATTGTTGAGTATGAAATCAGATTTAATTTGTCAGTAATCATCGATTCGGGGTTCTTCAAGTCACGCTCGTACTTGCTGAAGCTTCACGGTATTCTTAGGTCACCTACCTATAATCTCATCCTTAGATCACCTTATCGAGACATTCTTAGACCCTAGATTAGCCTATTGAGATATTATTAGATCATAAAATGTTGCCCGTAATAACACTACTTCCAACTAGGAGTAACACACACACTAAGATACCGGTGTTGTAAGCGCCAGATCACAGTACTAACACCTCTTCAACAACGCTTCATGGATTCAATGCCTGTCAAGGTAAAGGAGGACACTTCCAACCTCCTCATCTCACCCATGCCTGGTAAGTAACCAGGGTAACCTGGTAAGTAACCAGGGTAACCTGGTAAGTAACCAGGGTTACCTGGTAAGTAACCAGGGTTACCTGGTAAGTAACCAGGGTAACCTGGTAAGTAACCAGGGTAACCTGGAAAGTAACCAGGGTAACCTGGTAAGTAACCTGGGTTACCAGGGTCGTTACTGTTTACTCTGTAACAATTATAGGGGTCATCACAATGAGTCATCTATTTCTGGAACTGTCAACATAGATTAATGACAAGAATGGCAAGAATTGTGAGAAGTTTAAAAAAGTAAACGGCGATAAACCCTCCCCTCAATTACTGTTTTGTATCATACTATGAGGGGGATTTTGAGGCACGTAACAATAATCCCACCTTTATAGTGATTCTAACCACACCTCCTTTATCAGGTAGTCTCTCCTCCATTAGCGTAGAGGAGGGTGATGAGGTACTGGAGGGAACTGAGGTAGCTGTAGTGGTGGCTATGAAGATGAACAACTCTCTCAAGGTTAATAACTTCATTGTTAGATTGATTAACTTACAAATCCCCCCACCCCCATTCATCCTCTGAATTGTTCAATTCTGAATCTGTTATTTGCCCGTTTTTCCAGTACGTGGTCCAGTATGTAATACAATTATTAACTATTACAGTATTGATTACAGTCACTTACTGGTTGTCGGTTATCATAGTAAATTACTATTTACTGGTTTCCGATTATTTTCGGCACAGATAACCCACCAAATGTTTACTACATGGCGATTTCGTTTTCTGCAAGAGGACTAACAAATGTCTGCAGATCTCGCCAAAGGTCACTGACTAGAGTCATGACTTGCTGGCACAAACCTGGCACCAAAGTAGTGGACAATAACAACTCGGTTTACTGTTCGTCTAGATTTGGATAGAATAATCTGATTTCTTTAATCTTTGCAGGCTCCGAAAAGCGGTAAGATTAAGAAGATTTGGGCTAGCGTCGGAGAAGTTGTAGAGGGGGATCAGAAGATTCTGGAATTCTATTGATACTGAGGCATTATTGTACGTTACCTTATATGGTAGTGTTGCCGAAGTACCACTTCCATATAAGGTAATCTTACACTCGCCGTACCTACGGTCTTTAGACTTGTTTCATACTGAGACCGATTGTAGAGTGCATAGGATAGGATGATTTGTATATTAGCTAAGTTATTATCTTTAGTAGTATTTCATGTTTTTGTGGTGAGACTTGGTCATTGCGAGTGGTAACCGAAACATCCAAATTTAAAACTTTACAGGAGCCGAGAAACACTGGCCGCTAAATATCGAGCTATTAGACTATTTCTAGTGTAATTCTGAGCTTTTAGCAGCAAATCTTTCTCGTACGAGATATTATGTTCCTGCCATGAAAATATGTTAAAGTTATGGCTGTCTTTTGGTAAAAATTGAAATACCGCTACCAATTAACCAAGTTCTTTGTGGACCAGATTTAGGATATTTAAATGTGTTTGATAGATTTTGTTCTTTACATGTTAGGGTTGTTAGATATTATCTTATGTGGTTGCTTTTTAAGTATCTTGTTATGACTTTTCCTGTTGTTGTGAAAGAATAATATTGATCTCTAGTTTTTTCCATAATTTATAGATTATAATAATGGACGTGATTTATTTGTTATCTTATCACGGGAGTGTGAGTGAATTCCGCCATTTACCAGAGAAATTTGGAATTTTACCAACCTGAATTTAATTGCTATAAACGTCTCTCCAATTCTCATCCTCAACACATGTATGAGTTATGATCATAGAGCAAGGATTTTAATAAATTTGGGTCCACATTTCTCTAGTTTAATGGGCTCTCTAAATTTAAAATGATTTTAAATTTGTCATGCACCGATTTATGAGTAATCGTCACTGAGCGATTGTGAGTAATCGTCACTGACATCGATAGGGATGGGTGAAAACTCGCGTACTGACTTCAGTTGGCACCTGGAGACCTGTATATACTCATGACCCCCACCTGTAAAAGTAATGAAATGAGAAGGTCCGGTAATCAGTAAGTTGATTACGCCTGGACAGACCGTACCATGGTCATTATGACAGTACGTGAATATTACCAACGCCAGGTATAAATATCCTGTGAATTTAATCTCTCACATCATGGCAACCTCGGTTGCTTGCGGAGTGTCCTCCGGCCTCGTGTCCGGTTCAAGGCTACCTTAGTGGCTTATGTTACGTCTGTGATTGTGGTGATGTAACAGTGTTAACTAACGAACACCAGCTGTGCTTTGTGCTGACCAGGTTGACTGACCCAGTCATTCGTCATTTTTGTTACATTTTAAGTCGAATAATGGGATTTATTGTCACCAGTTTCTACATTTTGTAGTCATATTAGTTCCCTCTAAATGAGTTATGATGGAGCATAGTCTGCCACATAATTGCAGTTCATTTCACCACATGATCAGTGGTGTTTCTTGGTATCACCAAAAGTTTCTTGGTAAACTCACGATCATCCGATCGGAACAATCATCTCTTGGACCTTTGTTGCAAATGAAGAGATATTAATATCTACTGGAATTTATCAAATCTAATAAACATAATTATTGCGTTAAAACAAGTGCAAGTCGTCAACTATTATTAATTTATGACTTCATTTTTCCGCGTGTTTAGTCGACCGCAAAAACGCATCTGTATCGTTTGGTATTTTGAATCGTTCTAAACAGATAAGATCACCTGCGGCTTCTTAGTTATTGTCACCTGGTCATCATCAACAACAACAAGCCCTTCCACCCTCTACTAACGTCAGCTATACCCTCCCACCCTGCTCTCACATTCTTGAAGTTTATGTGCGAACATAATTTTAAGTTAATAATTTTTTACTCTTGTACGTTTTGTTCGGATTTCTCAACGGATTATCGTATTTTATGGGCCACTCACAAAACATTTTCGGGCAACATGCCAAAAACGGGCATTTTCTGATTCTGCAAAAATTGCATATTTTTTGCAAAATCATTTTTTTTGAGGTGGACACTTCTGCAGGCGGTTGTTGATACACGTTGTAACCAAGAGGCTTGCAACGTGTAGCAAGGCGGTTGTGATTTGTTTTTATGATTTTCCATGAAGCCATGAGTGTGCATCTAGCTTGATGTTTGCCGGTCGTTTTTTTGTTTTGGCCAAAGTCAGTTTTTTAGAGGGCAAATTATTCGATGAGCCCTAACTTCGGAACACCCCAGACCCAAATTGAGAACACACAGGTGTTTGATAGTGATACTGATATTGTAAATATGAAAAGTTTTCCAATATGGTTCAGGAACCCTTACTTCGGCCAATAGGGCTACACCAGAGTTGTCGTAGTATTCTAAATCTTTCAATTCTCAGTTCCCGACATAAATCATAACGGCCACACGCACTTGCGTAAGAAATGCCTTGACATTGCAGACTCAGTGAGGTATGTTTGCAGAGCTGACATGCCGCTCCCTTTGTCGAACGTCAGCCAGCACTCAGCACGTCAGTCAGAAGCCTTCTTCCACCTCACGAAGCAGAATTGTGTAAATGATATTTTTGGATTTCGTTGTTCCCTGGCAGAATCTTTGAAATGGTTGACTGAATTATGCTTGTTCTCCCAGTTTTGCACGGCAACAAAACGATCCTTCTACAATGCTATTCGTATTGTTCTTCATCTCAAGTTCTGCCTGAAAGTTAGTCTCGTCACCATATATCAGTCATCGTGCCGTGTATTTAGAGTGACTGACCTACAGTTAACACGTGACGTGGATCAGTCGTGAACCTGTGAAGCTCCCGTCAACTTATTCAGGAGATCAATCATCACTGACAATAGGTGGATTAGATCATCGGTATTTTAAATTACGTGTTGTAATCGTTGCAAACATTATTTAAACTTATTCCCACGAGTAAAACCCAACAGCCAACACCTATAATCAGTGCACGATGATAATTGTTGTTCTTGACACTGAAAGTTTGTTGACGTGATAAAATTAGAACTTAGGATTAGTCCTTTGAAATAGGGAGGGGACTTAAATTGCTTGAAGCTCCTACATAAAGATATTGCTTGAAGTTGCAGAGCTCTAGAGCCTTTGTCCGAATAAACCGCACTAACATTTAATTTTAAAATATCGTCTACAATCTTATCTTAGACCGATGAATGGGTTGCAACTTAGAGTCAGACTAATCTAGGTGAATTTCTATTTTCTTTAACAGTTACATTGTTACAATCGTTACTGTCACTGATAGGCGTGCAGAAATTCTCTCTCATGCTTTTCAAGTAATTACCTGCAATAATTTGCACCAGGGAATTTTACTTTAGTACATACTAATACTCTGCTTTGCAGTTCCTGTCACTACAGCATAATGAGATGTTTCATCCCATTATATTCGAGATTTAGCAAAAGTGATGCTCAAGTACTGTAATTTTCAGTCTGTCGTCAGTAAAATGACGTTAATTTACTGGAGCTGAAGTTAATAATATGTTATATGGCAAGTCGGGCTTTTAATCTTGATCCTAGCTACACAATGACTTGTTGAATTTGAATGAGTCCCTCCGTTAAATAAGATTAAACAGCAGTGGTAACCTTACTGGTCCCCAGGTAATGGTAACCACGTTCACGTTTCACCTTATTCACACTCTTAGATTTTAGTTTCCTTGGCTTCATCGTGGAGAGACTGTATTTAATTTGTTGGAGTATTACATCTACCCATCTTGTCGCATATTTCTTTAAATACTACGTCTTAAATTGCTTTGCTTGCGTGTCTTCGATTATCAATCTCATTCTTTAAGTACCTAGTATCTTATTCTTTAAAAGTATGCAGTAGTTGGGAACATTCGATAATTAAATGTCACTAAATTGTAAATTGTTGATAATATTTACAGTCTGAGTTAGAGGCTATGCTTCATTGCAACTTTTACTTTTAATCGACAGATTTTTTTAAATACTATAGTTATTCGAATTATAGTTATACTGGTAATTTTATCAGTAATGATATTGACAACGCATTCTAACTTATAGATTTAGACCAGAATAATATTTCATCATCATTACATGACAGTTCGTAGGCCATTGTCAAAAGTGAAGATTATACATATTCTGATTATATAACTGTGCAAGGTATAAATATAATGATAAGTCGGAATGGATTATTGGTAAACTTAAACAAATTCGATCAGACAAATATTTATTGTGGCGCCGTTATAATTAGCATGTTATCTGTCATCTAGGTGTTACAGTGATTTAATAATATAATATAAGTATAACCATAATATAATATAAGGACAATTATGCTGCGCTAGTGCGTGTTACTGTTGCGTCACCTGACACAGTACTATAAATATTACGGCTCTTTACTTTTAACTCAGTCTGTCTGTATTCCGATTCGTGCTTGTACTCTGTGCTCTGTACTCGTACTCGTAGAAGTTTCCTAAGATGCTGAAAGTATTTCAGGTAACCATGCTAATGTCAGCAGCCCTGCTCCTCCAAGTAGCCACCCTCGCTCTCCTCCCGCTGAACACGGTCAGTTTCTCAGGGACCCCTCCTGAGACCTGTAAATACCAGGGCTACACCTTCCAGCTGCTCCACACTCACGTGTGTCTCAACTACCGGCTCTGTTACTGCCAGGTATCCGTTTCTAACCAGCACCTCAACCCCACCCTCCCCCCACAACACAGGACACAGTTTAACCAGCTTGCTGAACTTGAGGAGGATGATGGTGGTGATGATGATGTTGTTACTGATAACTACGATTTTATAACAACAACCCCTCCCCTCCACAAAGCTGCTTCAGAAACCCCTCACTTTGGTAACCATGGTAACCAGCCCCTCTTTGTAGAATGGAAACCTAAACCTGCTGAGTGTGCGTGCTGGTGTTCAGGTATTAGTTACGAGGCTGCTCGGGAGGACATGTTGTACCAGTCCGATGATACCTGTATTATAGACGAGACAGACTGTTACTGTGAGCTGGAGAAGGAGTTGTTGTGGGCCAACCAGATGAGACATATTTACGATTATTGAGACAGGTTGAGACACAACAATAGGTTGAGACATTTCCAACTCATTGTCACATCTTGAAACAGTTCAAACAATCTGAATCTTCCCACGGGTCATTGGCAGTACAAATTGGCACTGCGCCAGAAGGACTAGGAGTATGATTGGCAGTACAAATTGCTGTAAATGTCACAAATCATGAGATCAGAAAATCAAGTGATAGCATTTGGCATTATTAATCTGAATCTGTTTTATGGACAAGCTATTTAAAGTATGTTCACAATTTATTTCACAATTATTTCACTAGTCGTAGATCCCGGTTATTTTTATTTGAATGTAAATATACTCAAATTTATTTTAACTTTTATTTGAATTTAAAGTAAATTAAAGTTTACGGAGGCATGTTAAAAGATGATGGCTGTCGTTTAAGCTATTTCAATATTTTTAATTTGAATGCTATAGGAAGGATGTTTGGATACTGGAAACGTAGATAATGGATAACTATACAATTTAATAGCTTTCAGTTCTACAACAAAATAAAGTTTGATATAAGATTCGGCGTGAATGAATATTGAAGCTGAGACCGTAGAATGAATGATAAACGTGCAATTTTAGATAATTGTCATCTATTGTCATTCATTATCATCTTTTTTATAGAAATGCTTTTTTCTTTACATTGAACATAAAAATTAAATAATATTGTATTTTAGTTTTGCTTGAACCAACATATTAATTTAAATTTTGCCTTACAGTCTATAGGAAACGAAAATTTAAACAATATATTGCTTTATTCAAGAATTTATTCGCAAATTATAATATTTTTACATCTTCACAGGGAAAACTTATATCTACAAAAAACAGAACTTCAGAAGGGACAGGTAACTGAAAAGGAAAAAAAAACTGTAGTCAGAATACAGTTAACAAAACAGAAAAAATGAAATAATAGTAAAGAAAATGTAGCTATCATTAAATAAAATCAGACATTCAACATTGTTAAAGCAGCAGTCATGATTTAGGAACCTCGATAGACTATTCATATTTTAGTTTTATTCTTAACAATCGCTCATAATTAAAATATAAATGAATAATCATTTTCCAATTTGTTTCGATCTAGTCATCCGTCGGGTCGATGGTTCTGCAACAGGGAGTAAGAGTAGTGTGATCCCATCTTCCCGTTGTGGTATTGCACCTGGCCTCAGTTCTATCCTCGTTCATTATCACATAGGTAGGATCATCATCAGCACAGGTAACTTTCAACTTGTAGTCGCTTGAGCCGGCCACTTTCTCCTAGAATTGAACAAATATTTTAAACAGAAGACAGAAACGAATTAATTGAATTTAAATTACACGAACTTAATTTCTCTTGTATTCCGCTCCCAGATTATTATATCAGTCCATATAAATAAGATCGGAAAAACCGAAAGATAAGACATCTTTGCTGCTGATAAAAAATAATTATAAATTAAGTTATTTCCTCTCTAGAATAATTCACCTTTGTAAGTACTGTGTTTGGTGGCTTAGTGAGGGGTCTACACCTCCTCTTCATCGCAAGTTTCACTTTGCTTGTTGTGTATTGTTGGCCATTCTCGAACGTAAATCTGAAAAAAAGTTATTCAATTTCATGAAGAATCGTGCTCATTATATAGTTGATCAATCATACTGCACCATACATAAAAACTAATTTCTAACAAATTAATTACATCCTTCCATTGGAACCTTAGCAGCTTTAAGTTTGCAAGACATATTTTACGAAACTTTAATTTTGTTATTACTTGAAGTAGTAAGACCCATCATCACAGGAAAATGCTTTCTTCATCTCATGGTTCACTTCAAGAGGACTTGAGGACATACTCGGTAAATTCACCGACACTTCTTTACCACTCTCTGAAGATTGAAACTATTATAATAAAATGTGGACATTTCATCCTTTGAAATGCTAAGGGATTGCTCCTTCGACCTGAACCACCGAATATGAATCTTGACATCAAATATTACCACTAGTACTACCAAAACTAAAATATTAAGAAAAAAGTGTTGATTACATTGCAGTTGTACATGTAGTCGAGTTAGACCATTTCTTTGATAAGACTTTCTCACAAGTAGTTGAATTGAAACTATTTTCTCTTTTTTCTAGATACTTAAATTTGACCAAAACCCATAATCATGGGTAGAGTGTACCGCTGCCAGTGTCTCTCTTTTCCAAACAAAAGGAAATGATATTAATTTGAGGAACCGTCCGCTAATGCAAATTGATACCGAGAATGAAATCGGTCGCTCGCTTTTCCCATTTAATAAGCTTTATTACAATTCGTAAGCCGTGAATGAATGGGAAAAGCGAGCGACCGATTTCATTCTCGGTATCAATTTGCATTAGCGGACGGTTCCTCAAATTAATATCATTTCCTTTTGTTTGGAAAAGAGAGACACTGGCAGCGGTACACTCTACCCATGATTATGGGTTTTGGTCAAATATCATCTCTTTTTGATTATAATGTCAGGATAATTTACACAATCGAAACTTCATTAACAAGGAGGTAATTCCGACGATTTCGAAATTCTGCCTTTGAAAACGTTTCCTTGTGTTTAGTTAGGTATATCTGTCGATAACCGACTGAATATGGCACTTTTTACTCATTCAAGTTGGCATTAAATTCACGAATGAGCAAAATTCTCACCTTTCGCACGTGCAAACTTTGAGCGGACGTTGCGTGCGCATACAATATTGAATCACCGTAAATTTTTTCATAGTGGTATTTAATATATAGTTTGATAAGCATGCAAAGTTTCAGAAGATTTCAAAAAGAACTTGGATCACAATGGGACTCCAAAGTTGATAAAAATCGTGAAAATCAAAATTTTTAGTGATTTTAGCTATTTTAAATAAATTTGGGCGTGTCCCCACGTGTGCAACTTTTCGATTTTTAACTTTAAAACTAGCCTATAACACAATTTACACCTTTAAGAAGCAAAATTGAGCTCCACAATCCAAGGGATGACCCAACACCAGAGAATACTAATTCACAACTTTTGTGTTTTTATAAAATTATTCTTCAAAAAAGCACTAACTTCAATAGCAAATATCTTTATGAAGGAGCAAGGTAGAAAACTATTCCGGTAGATTTTCGGAATGCTTGAACAATTATCTAAGATGAAAATGTCCTCAGATTTTGAATAAAATTACTCCTTAATAGCGTAAAATCGATATGAAAAGTTGTTACTTTGTCAAAAATCAAGTTTTTAAAACACTTAATTTGATGACGTCATCAAGTGATGATGATGACGTTAAATTATTTTTCAATACAATGTAAACTAAAGCTTAAACGATTATCTTTAAAACCTGTGGTTCGAGATGACTGTATCGTTTATACTTTCGAATCTACGGACACTTAAATGTAGGCTACAATTGACTGCAAAAAGCGTCTATATTATATATTATATATCTTCACGACAATCTGTTGTAAAACAGGGGTTCCAGAAAACCCACTTCACGATACTCCTGAAACATGAAATTTTTTTTACAGTCGATTTGGACAAGGTCTAGACGCCCTGCAAAGTTTCAGATCTCTAACTCAATTTTAACATGGTTTTTAAGGCACCTGAATATGGCGATTTTGGGTTTTTTACCTAATTTCGTATAACATGCTCATGGCGCGTATTTTGCGCAAATTTCTTAAAAACCTCCATATAACTATTTCTTATTCCTGTCATCTTTAACATTGAATTAGAATGTTTTGAACTTAAATGTACCTGCTGATCTACTTTCGATGAGTCTTAATGCCTGGAAATCAATAAAGGGGATATAATAGTATAGGGGGCAGTGGCGTAACGTTGCCTGTTGGCGCCCCCCTGCCGAAAAGGCGCCCCCCTGTTGGCGCCCCTCCCCTTTTGGTGCCCCTCCCTAAAATTGAACAAATTAGGTAATTTTAGAGGATACGCAGATAAAATCTCTAAAAAAGTGTGTATCTAGAGCAAAACGCGCAGTTTTGCTAGTACTTTAGTTAAGTTTTCGAAATTGTCCCACATTCAAACGACGATTTGGCGCCCCCCTAAGACGGCGCCCCCCTGCACAGCAGGGTCAGCAGGGCCCTTCGTTACGCCACTGATAGGGGGTAAATAGTATTGTGAATATAAGGGCGACGGTAATGCTTGCCAGCATTGTGATTAACTTACGTTCATGAACTAACATTACACTTAATGGTTCGGGTCCAAATATCAACGCTACATGAAAGAATGCAGATTTGCCCTCAAAGTCAGAATCGACCACTGGCACATTGGCTGAGACAGCTTTCAAAGTGATCAGACCTGTTGTCACTTCGAAACCAGACATTTCAATCCGAGCCTTGTGTGCTGAAATACAAATGTTTCACAATGTTAAACTAATATTAAATTATTGAGGACAGACGTGTTGAATATATGTTAACGATGCGATCCGAATAATTCTTAGAAAAGTAGATAGAGTAAAACAAATACAAAATAACAGGTTTAGTTGCTTGACTGAGTGCTTAATCATTCACCTGTAATATCGAATTTCTTTATCTTATCAATGACCAGGGTTGCAGACATGACACTGCGATCGTCTAACTTTGAGAGGAGGTTATGGTAGCCGGCTCCTGTTCCGAGATCTTTCCAGTTGCTGTTCACGCCTGCATGTGTAGAATTTTTGATGATGATATATATATCATATATATATATATAACATTTGGGAATCGATGTGATAAAGCAAAGTGCAGTAAAACCCTGAGTTTGGGGGAAGGAAAATACCGCGGTAAAACGGGGTTTGCGGTAAATATTTAAAGTAAAGTAAGTAACATAATATTATTTAACAGAGCTAAAACGTTAACGTGAAATAAAGTTCTAATCTTACCCTTTAGCTGCAGCCAGGTCACAGTTACGCTTGATGTGCTGAAAGCTGTGAAGTAAGCAGTGAGCTTGAGCCTTGCTCCGGAGATTGCCCACTTTGGTGAGGTGTCAACAAATGTCTGTCCTGTTGAGATAAGATCGAGTAAGCTAATACCAAGATATAGATAGTTTTAATTTATTAAACTCAAAGTCAGAGGCACATATTAGGTGCGATGGGTGCGGGATCGCACAATTTACCGTTTTCCGCACATTTCCGCATAATTTATAGTTTTCTGCACACTTCCGCACATTTTGTCATTTTCTGCATATTTCCGCATAATCTAGCATTTTCCGCGTAATTTCGCATAATTTGGAAATTTTCGCGTTAAGATTTTCGAGTGTAAAAACCAAAATATGTTAAAAGTCGGGCCCTTTTAGGACCGTGACTCAGGCCCTTTTAGGACCGTGACTCAGGCCCTTTCGGGACCGTGACCCAGGCCCTTTTGGAACTCATACCCAGGCCACGTGACCCAGTTACCACGTGACCCAGGCCCTTTCGGGACCCTGACCCAGGCCCTTTCGGGACCGTGACCCAGGCCCTTTCGGGACCCTGACCCAGGCCCTTTCGGGACCCTGACCCAGGCCCTTTTGGAACTCATGCCTAGGCCACGTGACCCGGTTACCACGTGACCCAGGCCCTTTCGGGACCATGACCCAGGCCCTTTCGGGACCGTTACCCAGGCCCTTTCGGGACCGTGACCCAGGCCCTTTCGGGACTGTGACCCAGGCCGTTATGGAACCCTCGTTGTTACCGTACTTCGATCATACCTGCAGCCCTTTTTATCGGGTAATGAGCTCTATTCGTTGTAGCGTTGGCTTTTTTATAGTGGGCTTAATGGATCTTGGATCAAATGGTTTACAAGTACTGACGATCAATGCCAACAAGCGTGTCACATATTTGCGATCACGCATGGGATCTGATCGACTCTATCAAGAGGCGTCTTCAAATAACTGTCTCCTGATCTCTACCAGATCAAGTCACTGTTCTCAGATAACTGAATCTCAATATAGGTTCAATCATGGTCTTAGTAAAGAACTACACCCTCAGTAACACATAGACAGACCTATTTTTGATAAGAGCGGCGGTTATACGTTTAGAATTTCCAAAGTCCTTCAGAAAATGCAAAAGAAAACCGCACAATTCCCGCACAAATTTCGAAAAAATCGTCGCACATTTGCCGCATAATTGGTAAAAATTTACCGCACCTTACCGCACATTTTACCTTTATAGTCGGGTGCGGTACCGCATAATTTCGATTATTTTACCGCACCTAATATGTGCCTCTGCTCAAAGTTAAAACATATCAACATGCAAGTTCAATTCTCCCCCTCCCAACAACCGTTTGATAATTAATTTCCCATTTGCAATTAAAACTCATGTATAATACAGAAAAGTAAGTTACCAACTGATTACCTATTAGAAAGATTTTTCCGGTAATTGAAATTTCTGAAGGCAACCTCGAATTGATAGTGTATTTGTACAAATACTCCTTTTTTGAGAGGTCCTCCTTGCCGTTTACTGTTGCAGTCGCTGAACCTGATCTGAGAGCAGGTGTTCATTAGTGACCAGCGTGTGGTTTAAAGAACATCTACGTACCCACAATTAAAGTATTAGTACAGGAGGGGATTAGTATACGTACTTGGAGCTTATAAAATAGCTATTTTTAATATTTAGAACTTGTTATTTTACAGACGATATCCTGCAATTAGGTCAATTAAGTCGATAAATGTGCAAAATGGAGATCTTTTTAAAAATTAATCTTTTTATACAATCTATGTTGCACGGAAACTAGAAACTATTCGTAAGTTACCTAAAAAATGTAACAACTTCTTTGAACAATATCCCATCACTATTGACAGTCGTATTTTCCACTTTTGTCTGAATCTCGCTAATACCCTGGAAAAATCACTAGTTAATAATAATATTAATAATATAACAATTAATCAATGCTATGTACCAACATTCATAATAGTACGAACCTTAGTAAGCAAAATTTTGAATCTTCAAACATAGCTTTCATCGTCATCTATCTAAAATATTTAAGTCAGTCACTTTGTCGAATATGACAATCCTTATCTACAGACGGATAAGTAAAGATGAATCTATGACAGAGGATACGTACAGATGCAAACTCCACGTTGGTAGTGGAAGGTTTGTACTCTGACCAAGTAGAGAAAGTAACCACAGCCCCGTCAGAAGGTGTTATCATAACCCACTCAACGTCCAAGGTTAGTGTTATCAAATTCAGGTTGCTACTAGGTGTCTTTATTGCATGTCCTGGAGATATAAATCCGAATTAATGAGTTTTTTAAATAAACTGATTCCTTAAACACCCAATTTTCCATGTTTCGTACATAAATCGTGCGATCGCCCCACTCAAGAGAGCAAAAACACACAGTTACTAAAAATTAAACCAAAAATATGAGCAAACCTGTACTGTACATAGCTTTGCACTGAAGGTTTCCTACGGCAGCCTGGGAATGAGTGAAGGAGATTATCGACGTTACATTCGTTGCTGTCCTGACTTTCTCCGCCAGAGAGAATTTCACTATCTCGTTGTCCTTGTTGAGTGTCACTCCTTCCTCACTGATAGTCTTACCGTCTAGCTGCCACCTTGATAAGATGAGGTTAGTAAGGTCCACTTAGATGACCTTGTGTATTTATATTCAACACTATGGAGTGTAGTCAATAGTTACAATATATTTAGGCTGACATAAAGAAAACGTACTGTATGTAGGAGAGGTTAGAATATGTAAGACCGTTTGAGACTGTACAAGTAACTGCAGACGTAGTCCCAGCGGTTCCCCAAACAGAGTTAGGAGTCTGTGTGCCACTTGCACTGACCCCCTCAACAGTCAACTTGTCATAGCTCTGCATTGTTCCGTCTGATGATAATCAACAAATTAAATTCCCACTTACTTATGCATCCAGATTTCTTAATAAAATGTGATAAAATTTATCAAATATAAAACATTCCGCTTATCATCTTCTATGCTTTAAATTTTAAATATCCAATAAAATGAACCAACCACCGCTTTTTTTGGAGAATGAACAACCCCAGACGCCATCAGTAGAATTATCAATGGTCAGTGTCAACATCGACGTTAAGCCTGTGTTCACTGGGTTCCTGAAATATTATTCGTTTAAAAATGCTCTCTATTTCACATTGAAACTAACAAAATTACAAAAGTGTAGACTGTTTTCATTTTCCAATGTTTCCTTTTTAAATTTTATTGTATCATTATTGTTTTATTTCATACCTGCAGGCACGAGTTTCACATTTCTTCCCGTCAATATTCCAAAAGAAGACTCCTTCGCTAAAGACAGTAGAAAAATATCGACAGGTCAAAGTAAGATCCGTTCCGGTAAAAACACGACATCCTCCATTTGGTTGTAAATATAAATCTATGGAAATTTGGATGGGCTTGAAACAATTAAAAATTAAGATTTTTCAAACTCGACATAGAAAATCTATTTATCTTCTAGTTCCATGACTCACCTAAAATAAATAAACTCCACATTCTTTAATTTTGTGACCCTTATTAATACGCAAAAAGGCTATCTAACTATATATAAAACGAGACGATATATATCCGTACCATTTATGACTGGTTCCAATATTTCAATGGCCTTCAAATCAGCATGTTAAATTAAACATTTGCCAAGGAATAAGAATTTTAGAGCCCAAAATGTGGACCCCAAAGTAGTGTCAAAAGCGAATTAAATGGGTAATAATTATTTTAGTCTCTTGAGTCTTGACTCTTGACACCACTTTAAGGTTAGATGGGTTCCTGCTAGAACGTATAATAATTAATGTCATTATACTCACTGTAGACTTGAGATTTGACAGCAGCAGTCTGGTTTGTAACTTTATGTTCGTTGGATGTAAAGAGACACACATAAGTCTCGTTAAAGATATTGAGAGTCGCAGGAATAGTTAAAGTGATGGTATGAGAACCGTTTGGGGTGACAAACCCGCCATCAGTAACAGTATAGCCACCGTGTTTAGTTGTTACTGAAATACCGCTAGAAGTGGTCCATTCAATCGAGTCTAGTTCCTTCGTCAAACCAGTAACAGTACAAGATATCGTTGCTTCTGCACCGAATAGTTGTGGCGTGTTGATCATATTGACACCTGCAAATCAATGAACTTAGTTTGTACTAGAGAAAGCGTACTGTTCAAAATTTTAACCAATAACACGTTTACCAGGTAAATATGAAGTTTTGGATCTTACCTAGTTCCAGAACTTTAGCTACAACATTTACGTCGGAAGATGCAGGAGAGTCTGCGTACTGAGACGATGTTACCGAGCACTTGTACGTGAAGGATGATTCAGCAGTAAAATCAGCCAGTTTGGCAGCCTTGATGGTGAGTTCTGCCAACTGAATGCCGGTAACATCAACTCTTCCTTGGCTGACAACGTAGTTGGTGGTATCCGAGACTGAAACTGGTGTACCATCAGGATCCTTCCAGACCACATTAACAGGGGTTCCACCTACGTCTAGTTCTCTGATAGTACAGGTCATCGTCTGATCAACGGCAGTGGTGACCAACTTTGGATCTGAACTGACCGCTGAGAGAGTTGAAATGTTAATAACTTACTAATTATGTGATACAGAATCTATTACATAAACAATTACATTTCATCATTAGATTCTTTCAACCTTTTGAAAAAGGATGGTTATTCAGTGATTCTTAATAATAGTTAATAGAACAGACAACCTAGTCTACTTTTAAGATGTAAAACTTACTGAACGTTTTCAACTTGACGACTGTCTTCTTGTTTGTTTCAACATGTTCGACAGATGTGATCAGACAGTTGTAAGTCGTATCACCGTTGTTTTGAGCACCAGAAATAGTCAATATCGTAGTTTGAGAACCGTCAGCGGTGTTATCAAATTCACTATCTACAAAGGTGAATCCACTCTGACCAGAAGAAATAGCTGCATCGTCAGAAGTTGTCCATTTAACGTTATCAAGTTTCTTCGTCAGACCGGTGATAGTGCAAGAAATGAATGCTTCTGTACCAGCGAGCTGTTCTTTGTTAACCGCAGTTATCTCTGAATAGAAAATAGTAAAACTATGAATACATTAAATTTGGTTAATAAATTGCTCGTCAATTATCAGTTCCTATAGAAAAAGATCCTTCATTTGACCTTTAATCTGGGCAAAATGTATAGGTACTGCAGATATATTTGTTTGGATCTTACCTAGTTCCAAGACTTTGGCTTCAACATTTACGTCAGAAGATGCAGGTGAGTCTGTGTACTGAGTCGAAGTTACCGAGCACTTGTACGTGAAGGATGATTCAGCAGCAAAATCAGCCAGTTTGGCAGCCTTGATGGTGAGTTTTGCCAACTGAATGCCGGTACCATCAACTCTTCCTTGGCTGACAACGTAGTTTGTGGTATCCGAGACTGAAACTGGTGTACCATCAGGATCCTTCCAGACCACATTAACAGGGGTTCCACATACGTCTAGTTCTCCGATAGTACAGGTCAACGTCTGATCAACAGCAGCAGTGACCAATTTAGGATCTGAACTGACCGCTGAGAGAGTTGAAATGTTAATAACTTACTAAGTATAAATCAAGAGGCTTGCATATAATGAACATATTGACACGGGTGCAGAGTTGAGTCTGTACGGAACCTAGTAGTTTCAGATCCTTGTTTAACTTGCCGTACAGCAAGGTCATCCACTACTTTAGCCCGGCGAGGCACATAACTCCCTCTACAACTCCATGACAAATGTTTCATATATACTAGCCGAGTTCACAAGTTATATCCTTGTGTTTGAGAAGAGCTCGTTAGAACTGCTTCCTTTCCCTTCAGTATCCCACAGTCTCTCGAGTTTCGTAACTGCCAGAGAACTCTCTTAAACAATTACTAGACTCGGTGATTATAAATCAAGAGGCTTGCACATAATGAACATATTGACACGGGTGCAGAGTTGAGTCTGTACGGAACCTAGTAGTTTCAGATCCTTGTTTAACTTGCCGTACAGCAAGGTCATCCACTACTTTAGCCCGGCGAGGCACATAACTCCCTCTACAACTCCATGACAAATGTTTCATATATACTAGCCGAGTTCACAAGTTATATCCTTGTGTTTGAGAAGAGCTCGTTAGAACTGCTTCCTTTCCCTTCAGTATCCCACAGTCTCTCGAGTTTCGTAACTGCCAGAGAACTCTCTTAAACAATTACTAGACTCGGTGATTATAAATCAAGAGGCTTGCATATAATGAACATATTGACACGGGTGCAGAGTTGAGTCTGTACGGAACCTAGTAGTTTCAGATCCTTGTTTAACTTGCCGTACAGCAAGGTCATCCACTACTTTAGCCCGGCGAGGCACATAACTCCCTCTACAACTCCATGACAAATGTTTCATATATACTAGCCGAGTTCACAAGTTATATCCTTGTGTTTGAGAAGAGCTCGTTAGAACTGCTTCCTTTCCCTTCAGTATCCCACAGTCTCTCGAGTTTCGTAACTGCCAGAGAACTCTCTTAAACAATTACTAGACTCGGTGATTATAAATCAAGAGGCTTGCACATAATGAACATATTGACACGGGTGCAGAGTTGAGTCTGTACGGAACCTAGTAGTTTCAGATCCTTGTTTAACTTGCCGTACAGCAAGGTCATCCACTACTTTAGCCCGGCGAGGCACATAACTCCCTCTACAACTCCATGACAAATGTTTCATATATACTAGCCGAGTTCACAAGTTATATCCTTGTGTTTGAGAAGAGCTCGTTAGAACTGCTTCCTTTCCCTTCAGTATCCCACAGTCTCTCGAGTTTCGTAACTGCCATGTGCGATATAGAAACTATTACGTGCGATATAGAAACTATTACGAAACTATTACACTTTATCATTAGATCCCTTCAAACTTTCGAAAAAGGATGGTTATTTAGTGATTCTTAATAATACATCAGACAACCTAGTCTACTTTTAAGATGTAAAACTTACTGAACGTTTTCAACTTGACGACTGTCTTCTTGTTTGTTTCGACATGTTCAGCAGATGTGATCAAACAGTTGTAAGTCGTATCACCGTTGTTTTGAGCACCAGAAATAGTCAATATCGTAGTTTGAGAACCGTCAGCGGTGTTATCAAATTCACCATCTACAAAGGTGAATCCACTCTGACCAGAGGAAATAGCTGCATCGTCAGAAGTTGTCCATTTAACGTTATCAAGTTTTTTCGTCAGACCGGTGATAGTGCAAGAAATGAATGCTTCTGTACCAGCGAGCTGTTCTTTGTTAACCGCAGTTATCCCTGAATTAAAAATAGTAAAACTATGAATAAATTACATTTAAAAAATCAAATTGAACGTCAATAATCTGTTCCTGTGGAAAAATATCCTGCATTTGACCTTTGATCTGGGTAAAATGTACAGGTACTGCAGATATTTGTTTGGATCTTACCTAGTTTCAGGACTTTGGCTACAACATTTACGTCGGTAGATGCAGGTGAGTCTGTGTACTGAGACGATGTTACCGAGCACTTGTACGTGAAGGATGATTCAGCAGCAAAATCAGCCAGTTTAGCAGCCTTGATGGTGAGTTCTGCCAACTGAATGCCAGTACCATCAACTCTTCCTTGGCTGACAACGTAGTTGGTGGTATCCAAGACTGAAACTGTCAAACCAACAGGATCCTTCCAGACCACATTAACAGGGGTTTCACCTACGTCTAGTTCTCCGATAGTACAGGTGAACGTCTGATCAACAGCAGTAGTGACCAACTTGGCTTCAGAACTGATCGCTGAAAATATTGTATTGTAATTTAAGATTAGATTTAAACTGTAACTTATGTTTTTAACCAAGTTGGAAGCAACGTACTTGTGTCGATTACAATTTTGTATCCTTATACGAAACACTAAGACAATAAAAAACGTATCAAGAAGGCAAGATTACTAAATGTTTTCAAGATGACAACTGTATTTTTATCTTTTTCGCTATGTTCAGTGGATGTAATCAGACAATTGTAGGTCGTATCCAGATTGTTTCGAGCACCATCAACAGTCAGTATCGTAGTTTGAGAACCATCTGTACTGATAAAGTCACCGACATCAAAGGTATAGCCATCTTGACCAGAAGCAATAGCCAAGTTGTTGGAGGTCGTCCATTTCACATCATCAAGTTTCCTTGTCAAACCAGTTGCAGTGCAAGAAATTGAAGCTTTTGTACCAGCAAGTTGTTCTTTATTGACTGCAGTTATCCCTGAATTAATAAATCTATTTGTTATTTCTGCCATAAAAATGCATTTTCAGCCTTTCAACATTTACTTATCAAACATAATTCGCCAGCTGAAATGCAGTTTTTACATTCATTATTCATTCACAGGTTAACCTAAACACTGATGGTTGTTACAGGACTGTGTATCGGTAGATGGCCCTGGACAATTTACTCCACCGTAAGCCGGGACAGGATTCGAACATGATCTCGATCTGGTTCGTGTTCCACCTCCACAGGCTTTTGAGCAGGTTTGCCATGACGAGTAGAAGCTCCATTCTCCGTTTACTGAACAGTTTTAGAAATAAAATGTTCAAAAATCCTTAAGAATAAGTCTAATATTGAGGCTAACAAAACAATAGCCTTTCATAGTGTTTGTCAACAGATGGAAATTAATTTAAACTATGGGTTTAACATTGAATGTTACATTTGGCTTTCATGTCTTCCATACCTGGACAATTTTTGGTGTTGCAGTTCTGATTCTCAGAAGATGATCCAGAACAGCTGCTTCCTCCATAAGCTGGCGAAGGGTTTGTACAAGTTCTGCTTTTTGTCTGTGTTCCTGTTCCGCAAGATTTTGAGCAGGAAGACCAAGAAGAGTACGAACTCCAACCTCCGTTAACAGGATCAGCTAAACGATTGTGAATTAATGAACTGTACTTTTGATAGAAACAAACCGTTAATGCAATATCACGGTTGACTTTAAATGGAATGGTTGTGGACAAGATAGGACAGGCTCCGCGCTTATTTCAAATAAGAAATGAATATGCATCAATTTATAAAATTAAAAATAAAATTTATAAACGTTAGAAAAGTGAAAAAGAGTGAGCAAGGATTTGAAAAAAAAATTGCAACTTATTTTATAAATTGACATATATGATCAAATTTTGCCCAGCCTAAAGTGTGTCTGACCTAAAAAACACTGTCAAACAAATATGTTTGTATAATAAACTTGTGTAATATAATATATAGATATATACATATCAACCATTTGGCTTTAAAACGTTTAAGTAGACATACCAGCAGGACAACCGCTTGCAATCTCCCAAACATTCCCATGTCTAGTCTCCAGAAGAACGTCCTCCCACTTGATACTCCTTTCTTCGCCGTACTTATCCTCTATGACACTGCACATGGTATTAGACATCTCCTGGATCTGAGCGTCTGTAAGCTTCTTGCTGAACATATTCAACTTAAACAACTCGCCCGCTAAAGGGTTCACTGAATCCATTCCTGCACCGTAGCTTTGCTGTTCGTTGCCAAAAACCAGATATCCGTCTAATCCTAGCGTCCTCCCAGCTGGTGTTTCCTGTCTGTTTACCAAGTTTCCATTGATGTAGAGATCCCTCATACGCTCTGCTAGGCTCCAGCTTACACAGTTATGAAACCAGGTACCACTCCGCACGGTGTAGTACTGGCTCATAGAGCGTCCGTAACCGAATATACGGGAGCGATCACCCATATCCGCTATCCCGATTTCATATGCTTCATACTCCACTGCGTATGAGAACCATGTTGGAACACCACTATTGCTCAACTTCCTTATCCAAGCACACACAGTGAACGCATTCTCAAAGGGCCGCATGTCAGGTTTGTATATTATGTAATCATATTCCGAAGTTCCAAATTTCAATACGTTGTAACTACGTGCTTCATCTGCAGCAGCCAAGTGCCCACTAATGAAATGAAGTAGCAGAACTTTATTCAGTAATTGCTGCACAACCATTTGGCTACCGCCTACCTTGATGTCACATTCCAATAATTCCTATAGCTGAAGAAATAATTTTAGGAACGGAAATTTTATCCCTCCATATCTTACCTTTTGCAGTTTTAGTCAAAGTCTTAACTTTAAGGAATATCAAATGATGGAGTAGTTCGCTGTTTCTTAGTCTCATGATTGAAATACTGATAGTTGGATAATATCCGGTTGGAAGAGACAAGGACAAATGAAACAGGAAGTTAGGAATGTAGGCAAAACTTAACTTTAACTTGAAGGTGACTATGGTTTATTAGTGACTAATGTAATGTTGCGGTTACCGGTTAGTGCTGGGTATATGCGTATGTTCCAGACTGAAATCATAATCTGAGGCCAGGTTAAAATGTTGTACAAGATGAAATGTCCAATGTTGAATTGTATAATTAGCTGCTGCAATATAAAAACTCAAGTACAAATCGATTTTTTTCAAAGATATAATACACGCAAAAATTTGAAGTGGACTCTGTCATAACTTGTTAAACGTTAAACGTCAACCGTCCGGTTCCCCGTGTCATAACTGAAACTATAATTAAAACTGGGGTATAGTTCCGCCGAAACCCTGCTACGAAACTCCGTCTACTTTTGCTAGCCAAACATTCAAACAATACTTAGAATGATTATAACCTTACCTTATGACCTTATTTGGACGGACATTAATTGAACGCTGGAGGCCCTAACGTTCATCTTGATTTCCGTTCAAATAAAGTCCGTTCATTTAAGTTGCGTCCAAGTTGAAGTTACAGTCCATTGAATTTTTTCGTGCCGTAAGTTCACGACGGAAAGGTTCTCCTTGGTCTGCCGGAGGCACAGAAAACTTTACTATTATTGTGATGTTTTCAAGGATCACTTGGCGGAAAAAGTCAACGAAATTATGGCACTCAACAACACAGTTCATGAGCTAGTCCCCGCCAACATGACAAACTTGTTCCAGCCTCTAGATATGACGGTAAATCGTGTTACCAAGGACATTGTCCGACGTTGTTACAGTTCATATTACTCATGAGGGGAGGTAATGGAACAGTACCAGGAAAGCTCCACGTGATGTTAAGGTTAACCTAAAGTTGTCTAAGATAAAACCACTTCACGCCGAATGGATTGATAGTTAACACTGAAATGCAGGACCGGGGTTATAGTTTGATAAAAAAAGTTTCCATAAAGCTAAAAATCACTGATGCTTTAAGCATAGACTATTTCATGCACGGAAACCCATTTGATGAAGATGATATGTGATATTAGACACTGATCATGTACACATATTTTTTTACATTTTTACTGCTTAACGACTGATTTTCTTACTAATTACTGTATAAAAATGGCTTTAAAAATCATTTGCTGAAACAAAAACAGCAACGGATTTTTGATGGTTCTGAATGCCTTCTAGCGTTCATATTAATGTCCGTTCATAATTATGTCCGTTCATTTAATGTCCGTCCAAATAAGGTCCGATAAAGTAGAAAGGCATTATTACCTATATAATATGTAATATTTGGATTTGTTAGAATATATCCTAATGATATAATCCTACCACAAGAACAGCGCACAATATCAATAGAAATTAATTGGTTTTTACATTTTATAGCAGCTTTTATTTCCAATATCGGTAGTGAGATTCTACTTTACTCGTATTCACAAAAGTGTTTAATATAATTATAATTGCAGTACTTCCCAATTAGACGAAACGAACTATTTATGTAACTACGTCAGTTTTTACGCAGAAAAGTGGATGCAAATTACCAAAAATCTTTCGATTATCTCGAAATATTTTTGGTAACAAATTTAAATATGTCCAAATCAATAAATAAAATTATAAAGATTTACGGGTGGCAATCCTCGAAACTCAGAAACTAAATGATTTCTTACAAATGAGTTGTGTTTTTTTTCAGTTTAACTTTAACGTGACGATACTTACTATCCATTCTTCACACTTCAGCTCTATTTAAACTCTTACAGCTATCAAATTTCCATCGAAGCTTTTATTCAAAGAGCTGGCTGCATTGTCTAAAGATTCGGTCCTGTCGGTTTTTCAAGTTACAGTCCACGATCGAACATAAAATGTTTGTTTACTCATTACTAAACAATAAACTGTGCGTCAACAATTTCCACTCCTTCTGCCGAATCTTCTATTAATTGTGGAGTAATTTTGAGTCCAGTATAATTAGTTTTAATAAGTTGTAATTAGTTTTGATTAGTTAGAATTAATTATAATTAGTATAATTAGTATAATTAGTATAATTAGTATAATAAGTATATTTAGTTTTAATTAGTTTTAATAACGTCATGCTAATTGCAGCTGCTGGTGGAAAATCCTGCAGTATTGACGCAGTTAAATTTTCGCCGTTGTATTACACTGTAATGATAAATTAAAGTGGTTTTCTTGTGAACTAGAGGTTCTTCAATACAAAGACAAACCGTAACACAATTGACTAATCTTTTCTAAAGAAATTTATTAGCCACACTTAAAGTTAAGTCATTTATAATATAATAACCAACTTTTTGCAGCTCAGGCTTAAATCCTGCAACATGACAGTGGATAATTAAGGGCCGGAGGTGATTCTTTAAAAGCAATATTATTTGCTTTGTAGTGGTGCAAACTGCAAATTCGGTGTTACTGCTAGTGTTACCGTTAGACCCTCAAGACTTACAATTACCGGAAATTTTGGCTCTTAGTCTTACTAATCCGCTCGCCCAAAAATTATCACGTGACTTTGTTTTTGGTTTTTATGCTTTTGCAGCCGAAAAAACGGTTTTACATAAACCCTAATCCCAATCGGCCCTAACCCTAACCATGCATAAAGTAACCCCAGCTCAGACTTAAATCCTGGAACAGTGGATGAGACTGCCGTTCCCTGAGAAAAGGCAGTAAGTCACATCGATGTCATTTTGAGAAAATAGGACAAACGCGAACGTGTTTGTTGTTTTTTAGGTAATTTTACTCGCATAAAAGTGGTTAATTTTGACATTTGTGCGTAAATAAATTATTGTCGTATGTCCTAAACATGCTTAAAAGCATAAATTTACCAACGGCAACACTGATCTATAAAAACCATTTTTCTCCAGAATAACTAAACTATTTTCCCATCCCCATTGAATTTACATCCTTTTCTGAGGGAATTGCGGACTCACTGCCTTTTATCAGGATCGATTTCAACCTAGAAATTAGGCATGGCAGTAAGTCCATTTTTCCTCAGATAAAGCCATACACAAAAAATACAAAATTTCTATATTTTTGATCATATCCTTGCAATATAATTATGTGGGCCTCCTGTGCATTACAAGTGTGTAATATTGACGAAAAATGGATAATTTCTCGATCAAAATGCCTATAAGTATAACTTCTTAAATATCGAATATTTTGGAAAAATTTTCACAGCATCGTATTCATAGGCGGTGCACGATAAAAATAAGCTTGCTCGGATTTTCAAAATTTTTGTACCATCGTTTTCTTAGTAGAGGCTCTTACGGGCAAAAAGACGTGTTTTCTGCTACGAGTTTAGAGACCTAACCGCTAATTGGACACAATAGTATGATGTCTAAGGATCGATGATATGTTAAGAAGTATAAATTTGGCCTTATTAGTCACGTGCTATACCAATGCGCGTTTTAAACTTTGACAGTCTATTACTCTAAGGCAAATAGAGTAATTATATTCATATTTTGTCAGCAATAAGATCACATTATTTTCTATTTAATGTGAAAATATGAGCTAGAACGGACATAATCTCGCTGAGTTATAGCTGTTTGAAATTTATGATGAACGCGCGGGTGCCAATTGATAACAACTAAATGCTTTTGCGCGTAGTGCGCGTCGAAAATTTGGCAAAAACGCTTGCGGAGTGAAAATATTCAAACTTCGATAAAGTATATGAAGTGGGTACTTCTCGGAAAGGAAAAATTTAGGCAAACACGATGTGACTATTTTTGGGTTGATTTAATACAACTGCAAAAAATTATTCAAACTTCAAGCAAAAAAGTCAAAATTTTTACCACTTTTTTGGATTTTTACCTCAGAACAAATAGAGGGATTTGTTTTATTTTTATACAATCTTGTGCGGCTGTCTTTTAGCTATCTTTATGCAAGTTTTGCCGACATGCCAACAAAATTAACTTGCTCAAAATATCAAAAAACATGGTTTTTTGGCCTATTTTTGGCCCAAAAATCGGTTTTTTGCGATTTTACCCCAGAACAATCAGTCCAATCATCTTGAAACCACTTTCAATCGATTCTACGGTCAAAAATACGTTTAGTAAGGTGTATCTGGGGTCCCTAACGTATCGAGCAGACAATGCCCGTAAGAGCCTCTACTATCTAGAGACTGTGAGAATTTTCACAGTACCAAATTTATCATACCTTTTTGGAATGATCATTGAGTTTCGCCTATGTGCCATATTTGATGGTGCGCGGCTTTTGGAGCAAAATTAGGTGTAAAAGTCGCGTAATTTGACGAAATTCGTTGATTTTTGTCGTATTATTCTGTCATATCTTCGGTTCCTTAACATGAATCATGCTGAAAATTTGTCAGAACCTTCCAATCATACCTAATTACCGAACCTAATTTAGTTGGGAGAGATTGGCCTTGATTAAGAGGTCTAAAAATGACAAAATAGGTATAAATTCGTTGATAACTCAAATTCTGAGCATCGAAATTGCTCAAACTAAATTAGGTTTAGTAGAACATAAGTGTTTACGTAAGCTGACCAAATTTCAA